CATGTCTCCAACCTTCTGTCTCGGTGTCGCTTTGAAGATCTGGACGGACTGGTGGCCAAAGACGTGAGTTTGAGCAGCAGGAGGTCCGATTGGAGCGGGTCAGAACCAGCAGCTCACAGTTGCTCCTGTTCCTCCTGCAGCTGATCGGGAAGCTGGAGGAGAAATGCAGCGCTCTGCCGTCTGACCACCAGGAGGCGCTGTCAGCAGAACCGGACCAGATCATGTACAGCACGCCCGGCGACGTGGGCATCTTCTACGACGACGACGGTACGACCAGAACCGCTCTCAGCCCGGTCCCATTCAGACGTTCCTCTGAACTGGCTGGAGGTTCTAATCAGAACCGAAGGTCTGGTTCTGATCAGTAGAACCTCTAGAACCTTTTCTCATGGCGGTTCCGCCCCGTTTATCTGCAGGCAGGAAGTTCGTCAGCATCCTGATGCGGTTCTGGTACCTGACCAGCGCCCGGCTTCCTGACGACAGCGTGGAGGGAACCCGCCTCTTTAAGGTCGCCATCGGAGACGGAGAACCGGAAACCAAGAGGCTCCTCACCGCCATTTACGAGTGGGTCCAGAACCGGAACCAGAACCAGAACCCGTCCTCACAGTGAAGGTTCCTGAACTTCTCTCTGTTCTGCTTCAGGTTCCAGAGGGAGTTCACCAAGGGGGTTCCTCCAGACTGGACCATAACTCGGATAGAACACTCCAAGCTCCTGGACTAGCAGGACGGGTCCGATTCCCCATCAGAACTCAGAGAGACCCTCCTGGGCTCCTCCTTATAAGGAGAACCACAGAGGAGCAGCAGATATGATGCCAGAACCTCCTGAACCGGAAAGACGGGAGGCATTCCTCTGGAGTAGAACCGTAGAGAAATAAAATGAACTCTGACCTCTGACCCGGTTCTGTTCATCCGGTAGAACCTGCTTCTGTTTCCATCAGATTCATTCTTTAATTTAATAAAAATGTTTCTTATTTCCTCAGATTTTCTGTTTATTTGTGGAGAAAATTCGTTTCCTTTAAGTTTAATGTAGAACTTATTAGAACCTCAGAGTCAACCTGCCAGGAGAACCCACAGGCAGGAGGAGAACCCAGAGGCAGGAGGAGAACCCAGAGGCAGGAGGAGAACCCACAGGCAGGAGGAGAACCCAGAGGCAGGAGGAGAACCCAGAGGCAGGAGGGGAACCCAGAGGCAGGATGAGAACCCACAGGCAGGAGGGGAACCCAGAGGCAGGATGAGAACCCAGAGGCAGGAGGAGAACCCAGAGGCAGGAGGAGAACCCAGAGGCAGGAGGAGAACCCAGAGGCAGGAGGAGAACCCACAGGCAGGAGGAGAACCCAGAGGCAGGAGGAGAACCCAGAGGCAGGAGGAGAACCCACAGGCAGGAGGAGAACCCACAGGCAGGAGGAGAACCCAGAGGCAGGAGGAGAACCCACAGGCAGGAGAAGAACCCAGAGGCAGGATGAGAACCCAGAGGCAGGAGGAGAACCCACAGGCAGGATGAGAACCCAGAGGCAGGAGGGGAACCCAGAGGCAGGATGAGAACCCAGAGGCAGGAGGAGAACCCAGAGGCAGGAGGAGAACCCAGAGGCAGGAGGAGAACCCAGAGGCAGGAGGAGAACCCACAGGCAGGAGGAGAACCCAGAGGCAGGAGGAGAACCCAGAGGCAGGAGGAGAACCCACAGGCAGGAGGAGAACCCACAGGCAGGAGGAGAACCCAGAGGCAGGAGGAGAACCCAGAGGCAGGAGGGGAACCCAGAGGCAGGATGAGAACCCACAGGCAGGAGGGGAACCCAGAGGCAGGATGAGAACCCAGAGGCAGGAGGAGAACCCAGAGGCAGGAGGAGAACCCACAGGCAGGAGAAGAACCCAGAGGCAGGAGGAGAACCCACAGGCAGGAGGAGAACCCAGAGGCAGGAGGAGAACCCACAGGCAGGAGGAGAACCCAGAGGCAGGAGGAGAACCCAGAGGCAGGAGGAGAACCCACAGGCAGGAGGAGAACCCAGAGGCAGGAGGAGAACCCAGAGGCAGGAGGAGAACCCAGAGGCAGGAGGGGAACCCAGAGGCAGGATGAGAACCCACAGGCAGGAGGGGAACCCAGAGGCAGGATGAGAACCCAGAGGCAGGAGGAGAACCCAGAGGCAGGAGGAGAACCCACAGGCAGGAGAAGAACCCAGGAGAACCCACAGGCAGGAGAAGAACCCAGGAGAACCCACAGGCAGGAGGGGAACCCAGAGGCAGGATGAGAACCCAGAGGCAGGAGGAGAACCCAGAGGCAGGAGGAGAACCCACAGGCAGGAGAAGAACCCAGGAGAACCCACAGGCAGGAGAAGAACCCAGGAGAACCCACAGGCAGGAGAAGAACCCAGGAGAACCCACAGGCAGGAGGGGAACCCAGAGGCAGGATGAGAACCCAGAGGCAGGAGGAGAACCCAGAGGCAGGAGGGGAACCCAGAGGCAGGATGAGAACCCACAGGCAGGAGGAGAACCCAGAGGCAGGAGGAGAACCCACAGGCAGGAGGAGAACCCAGAGGCAGGAGGAGAACCCACAGGCAGGAGAAGAACCCAGGAGAACCCACAGGCAGGAGAAGAACCCAGGAGAACCCACAGGCAGGAGGGGAACCCAGAGGCAGGATGAGAACCCAGAGGCAGGAGGAGAACCCAGAGGCAGGAGGAGAACCCAGGAGAACCCACAGGCAGGAGGGGAACCCAGGAGAACCCAGAGGCAGGAGGAGATCCCAGAGGCAGGATGAGAACCCAGAGGCAGGAGGAGAACCCAGAGGCAGGAGGAGAACCCAGGAGAACCCACAGGCAGGAGGAGAACCCAGAGGCAGGAGGAGAACCCAGAGGCAGGAGGAGAACCCACAGGCAGGAGGAGAACCCAGAGGCAGGAGGAGAACCCAGAGGCAGGATGAGAACCCAGAGGCAGGAGGAGAACCCAGAGGCAGGAGGAGAACCCAGGAGAACCCACAGGCAGGAGGGGAACCCAGGAGAACCCAGAGGCAGGAGGAGATCCCAGGAGAACCCACAGGCAGGAGGAGAACCCACAGGCAGGAGGAGAACCCAGAGGCAGGAGGAGAACCCACAGGCAGGAGAAGAACCCAGGAGAACCCACAGGCAGGAGAAGAACCCAGGAGAACCCACAGGCAGGAGGAGAACCCAGAGGCAGGATGAGAACCCAGAGGCAGGAGGAGAACCCAGAGGCAGGAGGAGAACCCAGGAGAACCCACAGGCAGGAGGGGAACCCAGGAGAACCCACAGGCAGGAGGAGAACCCAGGAGAACCCACAGGCAGGAGGAGAACCCAGAGGCAGGAGGAGAACCCAGAGGCAGGAGGAGAACCCAGAGGCAGGAGGAGAACCCAGGAGAACCCACAGGCAGGAGGAGAACCCAGAGGCAGGAGGAGAACCCAGAGGCAGGATGAGAACCCAGAGGCAGGAGGAGAACCCAGAGGCAGGAGGAGAACCCAGGAGAACCCACAGGCAGGAGGGGAACCCAGGAGAACCCACAGGCAGGAGGAGAACCCAGAGGCAGGATGAGAACCCAGAGGCAGGAGGAGAACCCAGAGGCAGGAGGAGAACCCAGGAGAACCCACAGGCAGGAGGGGAACCCAGGAGAACCCACAGGCAGGAGGAGAACCCAGAGGCAGGAGGAGAACCCACAGGCAGGAGAAGAACCCAGGAGAACCCACAGGCAGGAGAAGAACCCAGGAGAACCCACAGGCAGGAGGGGAACCCAGAGGCAGGATGAGAACCCAGAGGCAGGAGGAGAACCCAGAGGCAGGAGGAGAACCCAGGAGAACCCACAGGCAGGAGGGGAACCCAGGAGAACCCAGAGGCAGGAGGAGAACCCAGGAGAACCCACAGGCAGGAGGAGAACCCACAGGCAGGAGGAGAACCCAGAGGCAGGAGGAGAACCCACAGGCAGGAGGAGAACCCAGAGGCAGGAGGAGAACCCAGAGGCAGGAGGAGAACCCACAGGCAGGAGGAGAACCCAGAGGCAGGAGGAGAACCCACAGGCAGGAGAAGAACCCAGGAGAACCCACAGGCAGGAGAAGAACCCAGGAGAACCCACAGGCAGGAGGGGAACCCAGAGGCAGGATGAGAACCCAGAGGCAGGAGGAGAACCCAGAGGCAGGAGGAGAACCCAGGAGAACCCACAGGCAGGAGGGGAACCCAGGAGAACCCAGAGGCAGGAGGAGAACCCACAGGCAGGAGGAGAACCCAGGAGAACCCAGAGGCAGGAGGAGAACCCAGGAGAACCCACAGGCAGGAGGGGAACCCAGGAGAACCCAGAGGCAGGAGGAGAACCCACAGGCAGGAGGAGAACCCAGAGGCAGGAGGAGAACCCACAGGCAGGAGGAGAACCCAGAGGCAGGAGGAGAACCCACAGGCAGGAGAAGAACCCAGGAGAACCCACAGGCAGGAGAAGAACCCAGGAGAACCCACAGGCAGGAGGGGAACCCAGAGGCAGGATGAGAACCCAGAGGCAGGAGGAGAACCCAGAGGCAGGAGGAGAACCCAGGAGAACCCACAGGCAGGAGGGGAACCCAGGAGAACCCAGAGGCAGGAGGAGAACCCACAGGCAGGAGGAGAACCCAGGAGAACCCAGAGGCAGGAGGAGAACCCAGGAGAACCCACAGGCAGGAGGGGAACCCAGGAGAACCCAGAGGCAGGAGGAGAACCCACAGGCAGGAGGAGAACCCACAGGCAGGAGGAGAACCCAGGAGCCTGGACTGATTCCCTTCTAACTCAGAACCTTCATTATTATCAGAAATATTTCAGAAATGATGAAAACCTAAAGCATCCAGCTGCTGCGCTCCTATTGGTTCACATTCTCAGGCCCTTCTCCCCTGATTGGTCCAACAGCTGCTCCTGACTTCCTACTTCTACGGTGGACGCTTCCTTTACCATCAGCCGGCAGAAGAAGATGCCAGGTGGGAGGAGTCTTTTCTAGACCCAGACAGTTTCCTTCGGGAGAGGCGAGAACAGAAACGAGTCATCAGGTTGATAGGCGGTCATTACGTCATTTCCTGTCGCTATGCTAACATCGCTGCCAACACCTTTCTACTAATCCAGCAGCTGCGGGATCATGACGTCATTCACTGCTTTCCAGCCACGCCCCTCCCATGGGCCGGCTGCCTCTCCGGCTGCCTGTAAAGGAGCGGTCCTCCCGTGAACCGGTCTGACTGGCCTGGCGGTCCGGCAGCAGGAGAGCATGAAGACCGCCGCGGTGGCTTTTTACGGAGCGGCTCTGGTTCTGCTGCTGGCCGCTCTGAAGGAGCTGCTGACCGGCTTCGAGGAGAACAGATGCAGCATGACCTACATGTTCGAGCAGCCGGAGTACCGGGTGGGTCTGCTGGCAGCGGCGCTGACGTCACCGGGTCAGATACGATATTAGATATCAGGCGGAACCGGTTCGGTTGGATCGGGTTATCTGGCTCTGATTGGATCAGAACCGTAGAACCAACCAGGTAGACATGGCTGCCGGTGGAAGGTTCCCTGATCCCATTAGAACCTCCAACCAGAACCTGGACTCAGCCCAGAGCTTCAGGGAACCGGGTTCTCTTTCAGGTTCCCTCTGCTGGGAACTGGCATCTCTTTAAGGTTCCCTCTTCTGGGAACCGGGTTCCCTCTGCTGGGAACCGGGTTGTCTCTGAGGTTCCCGCTGGGAACAGAGTTCTCTTTCAGGTTCCCTCTGCTGGGAACCGGGTTCTCTTTCAGGTTCTCTCTGCTGGGAACCGGGTTCTCTTTGAGGTTCCCTCTGCTGGGAACTGGCATCTCTTTAAGGTTCCCTCTTCTGGGAACCGGGTTCCCTCTGCTGGGAACCGGCATCTCTTTGAGGTTCCCTCTGCTGGGAACCGGGTTCTCTTTCAGGTTCCCTCTGCTGGGAACCGGCTTCTCCTCCAGGTTCTCTTTGCTGGGAACCGGGTTCCCTCTGCTGGGAACTGGCATCTCTTTAAGGTTCCCTCTTCTGGGAACCGGGTTCCCTCTGCTGGGAACCGGCATCTCTTTGAGGTTCCCTCTGCTGGGAACCGGGTTCTCTTTCAGGTTCCCTCTGCTGGGAACCGGCTTCTCCTTCAGGTTCTCTTTGCTGGGAACCGGGTTCCCTCTGCTGGGAACTGGCATCTCTTTAAGGTTCCCTCTTCTGGGAACCGGGTTCCCTCTGCTGGGAACCGGCATCTCTTTGAGGTTCCCTCTGCTGGGAACCGGGTTCTCTTTAAGGTTCCCTCTTCTGGGAACCGGCTTCTCCTCCAGGTTCTCTTTGCTGGGAACCGGGTTCCCTCTGCTGGGAACTGGCATCTCTTTAAGGTTCCCTCTTCTGGGAACCGGGTTCCCTCTGCTGGGAACCGGCATCTCTTTGAGGTTCCCTCTGCTGGGAACCGGGTTCTCTTTCAGGTTCCCTCTGCTGGGAACCGGCTTCTCCTTCAGGTTCTCTTTGCTGGGAACCGGGTTCCCTCTGCTGGGAACTGGCATCTCTTTAAGGTTCCCTCTTCTGGGAACCGGGTTCCCTCTGCTGGGAACCGGCATCTCTTTGAGATTCCCTCTGCTGGGAACCGGGTTGTCTCTGAGGTTCCCGCTGGGAACAGAGTTCTCTTTCAGGTTCTCTCTGCTGGGAACCGGGTTCTCTTTGAGGTTCCCTCCACTGGGAACTGGGTTCTCGCTTAGGTTCCCTCTTCAGTTCTCTAAGCCCAGGTTCTATGTTCTTTCTTCATGTAGCAGAGCGAAGGTGCTACTGGGGAACCTTGAGCCTAACAACCAGATGTTCTGTAGGGTTCCTAACAGACAGAAACCTTCTCCATCCTCAGGTTCTCCACAGAGTTCTGCTGAGAACATTTCTCCAGCAGGTCTGATAGCAGGGTTCCACGCAGCAGACGGGAAGTTCACATCCGACCGGGGCCCTGATGGTTCTGGGACCTGATAGGAGGGCGGCCGGATGGCGAACCTCCTTTCTCTAGAAACCAAAGTCGGTCCAAGGTTCTTAGGAAGGTGTTCAGATTTCCATGTTCTGGTTCTGTTTCCAGAGGGTGGTTCTGCCTCGCCGCGTGTCCCGACTGTTCCCCGCCTACGGGCTCTACCTGTACGGGGAGGGCGTCTACGCTCAGGAAACCCGGAACCTTAAACTCAGCGGAACGCCCGTCCTGTTCCTGCCGGGGAACGCAGGGAGCTACAAGCAAGGTGAGGAACCCGAGGATGTTCTCCTGCTCTGATGTTCCCCTCCCTGATGCTCTGATGTTCCTGCAGCTCGTTCTCTGGGTTCCGTGGCTCTGAGGAAGGCAGAGAACATGGAGGCCGGTCTGCATCTCAACGTCTTCACGGTGGACTTCAATGAGGAGCTGGTGGCGTTCTACGGCGGCAGTCTGCTCAGACAGACGCACTTCCTGCACGAGTGCATCAAGGCCGTCCTGCGGCTCTACAAGGTCGGTGCTGCGGTTCTGATCCGTTCTCCTGTCCACAGGTTCTGGTTTCAGCAGGTGGAACCAAAGCTTGAGAACACCAGAGAACATCAGAAGAACCTCAGTGAGAAGATGGAGAACCCAGAGAGCCGATTGGCTGATCCAGCTCCCAGTCAGAAGGTGATCTAGAACCATCATCGGGTTGTTACCATGGTGACCAGGCAGCCATATTTGGTCCAACCAATCAGAGTGAACCCGCATGAATGGAACCAGGACCGGATCAGAACCCAGAACCTTGGGTTTGTAGGTTCTGGTCCGGTTCTGGTAGCAGATCAAACTGGCAGAATGTCTGAAGGAGATGATTGGATGGAAGCCACCAGTGAACTGGCAGAGTGATGCAGAGCAGAGCGGCCTCGTCAAAGTTCACTCCTGAATCCAGACGTTCTTGCATATTCTCAGATGTTCTCAGGTGTTCTCAGGTGTTCTTGTGTGTTCTCGGTTGTTCTCTGATGTTCTCTCATGTTCTGAGGTGTTCCTTGTTCTCGGATGTTCTCCATCGAGTCACATTAAAGCTTTTGAGGAAAACCAGATGATTGGAAGGATGACGATGATGGTGATTGTTGGTAGAAGAACCGGTTGTTGGTTCTGCTGATGGTTGTGAACCCGTCTGTTCTCCTCTAGAACCTGAAGGTTCCCCCTCGGAACGTGGCGCTGGTGGGTCACTCCATGGGGGGGGTTGTGGCCCGGGCGCTCTTCACCCTTCCTCGCTTCAACCCTCGCCTGGTCAGCCTCATCGTCACCCAGGCCTCCCCCCACGTGGCTCCGGTTCTGGCCCTGGACCCGTACCTGCTGGGTGAGTCGTCCCGGTCTGGTCCTTCTGGGCGGGATGTCAGTCGCCACGGTAACCCCTTGTTCCCCTTCCGCAGAGTTCTACGTGGCGGTCAGGCAGAAGTGGTCGACGCAGGCGCAGAAGCTCAGGAACGTCACTGTTCTGTCGGTGGGAGGCGGTTACCGTGACTACCAGGTCCGATCGGGTCTGACGTCCCTCCCCTGCCCCCCCGGAGATCCCAACAAGCTGGCGCTGGTGGTAGGCCCGGTCGGTAGCGTTTGGACCGTCGATCCGCTGCGTCTCCTTCATCTCCTCCATGTTCTGTTTCCAGGCCACCGCTGTCCCCAGAACCTGGCTCTCCACCGACCACCTCTCCATCGTTTGGTAAGCGACCATCAGAACCGGCGCTCTGGGTCGGCCCGGTTCTGAGACGCTGAACTCCTCTCTGTTGCAGGTGCAAGGAGCTGGTTCTGGCCACGGTCCGGGCGTTGTTCGACCTCGTCGACCCTGAGACCAGACAGGTTAGTGGACCTCCGGTTCTGGTTCTGCTGGGGTTCTTGTCCTCCCAGCTGATCCCATGTTCATCAGTTGACAGACGACCCGGAGAGGAAGCGGGCCGTCCTGAACCACCACTTCGTCAGACACCCGGCGCGGACGCCGCAGGACGCCGCCGACCCGTCCGTCTCCATGCCAGGTGAGGCGGCGCAGCGTCTCGGTTCTGAAGCTTCTAGAAGCCAGGGGTTCTGGACAGGCTTGGTTGCTCCACCATCCTTCAGAACCTCTGGTACCAGAAGATGAGACGAGGTTCCCAACCGATCCAAGCAGAACCTTCCAGAGCAAAGAGGAGGTTCTGACTCGGATCGACTGCCAGAACCATACTGGAGGAGCAGGAGGAGCAGGAGCAGGAGGAGGAGTCCTCTGGTTCAGGTTAACTGGAGGACCAGATGGTCCAACAGAGGGGTTCTGCTGAGGAACCAGGGCGGTTCTGTCTGGTTCTGTCTGTCAGTGAATCAGAGCAGAACCAGCCGGTCCATTTATGGGGTTCATGATGGGGCAGATGGAGAACCTGGATCAGAACCTGCAGTTGGGATCACAGGGTGAACCCAGTTTGTTTGTGGAAAAGGTCCAGGATGGGTTGGAGATACTGGACCACTCAGGCGGTTCTGGCGGCGTGGTTCTGATCGGGTTCTGCTGTTGTTGTTCCAGATGTTCCTGAAGCCTGGAGTGAAGTCAACACCTTACGTCTGTCCTACAGAACCCCCAAGGTACCGGATCTTCCACGCAGACAGAACCTGGCGGTAGGTCCTGTCGGTGTTGGTTCTGATGGGTTCTGTGCTCCGATTGACAGGAAGGACAGCTGAAGTACTTCCTGTTCGCTCTGTCCAGCCGCCGCCGCGCCTACAGCCACTTCTACTGCCGCTCCAGCAGCCTGGTGGGTTCTACAGCCAGAGGTTCTGGTTCTGGGACCTGCTCAAGGACTTGGGTCTGCTGACCTTCCAGCAGGTTCTGGTTCTGGTTCTGGTTCTCCTGATACTCTGTCTGTGTCCAACAGGAGTCAAGCAGCTGGGTCCTGGGCTGTGTCCGCACTGCCGGGTCCTCATGGTAACTCCTGGTTCTGCTCGGTGTTCTGTTTCTGCTCAGTGTTCTGGTTCTGCTCAGATGGTTCTGCTCATCTCTGATGTTCTGCTGTCCCTCTGTCCTCATGTCTCCCTGTCTGTCCTCAGTGCCAGCGCCGTGGATCTCTCCTCGGGGACCGAGCTCCTGCCTCCATATAAGGTGATGATCCATAGAAAATCCCGGTCCGGTTCTGGTCTGGTTGCGGTCCGGTCTGGCTCACCTTGTCTTCTGTCCCAGGTTCTGGTTCTGAGTCTCAGCGACTTGTCGTCTTTCACTCACCTGGTGGTTTCTGCCTCCAACCTCAGCGGTAAACAGGTGAGTGAGGTTCTGCTAACGGGTCGGGTTCTGACCCGTTCTGTTGACGGTTCTGTCTGTTCTCCAGTTCACGGTGGAGTGCGAGTGGCAGAGAGAAGCGGCTCAGACTCTCTCCGTCTCCGTGCCTCATCTCCTCTCCTTTGGTGAGTCTGCGTCCAAACAAGGAAAGTTTAGTGGAAGGAAGATCTGAGGCTGTGAGGCAGATTATAGAACCAGGAGATTTAGAAGTTATGTCCTGCAGGACCACCAGAACCTAGCTGCCCCCTCAGACACTTCTGAACCAGAACCGGAACTAAAGGGAACCTGGATCGAAGCAGAAAGAACCAGGACGTCTGGATTCTTATTATTTCCTGCTTCCTCCAGAACCGAGTCACAGGGCAGCAGCTCTGACCTCCTCCTGGGGAACCCTGAGGGGCTCCAGCCCAGCAGAGACCCTCCATGGTGTCCTGGTCCTCCTCCTGGTGGGGCGTCCCTGGAACCCCTCAGAGGGAGGCGTCCATCTGATAAAGATGTCTGATCCTCCCCCTGATGACCCAGCTCCTCCCCCTCTCTTTGGGGGAGAGCCCAGCCTCCCTGCAGAGCAAGCTGGGATCCAGGATCTGGTTCTGGGATCCAGGATCTGGTTCTGAGATCCAGGATGTGGTTCTTTGGGTCCTGATCCAGATTAAGGACCAGAGGTGAGGGAAGGAACGTAGAGCGAGCGCTAAATCAGAGCTTCGCCTTTTCTCTCAGCTCTCTGATCCACAGCAGACGGAGCAGCGTCTGGATTATAGCAGCAGCACCGATACATCTATAGATCCGTCTATAGATCAGTCCATAGATCAGTCCATAGATCAGTCAATAGATCCGTCTATAGATCAGTCTATAGATCAGTCTATAGATCCGTCTATAGATCAGTCTATAGATCCGTCTATAGATCCGTCCATAGATCCGTCTATAGATCAGTCTATAGATCAGTCCATAGATCAGTCCATAGATCAGTCTATAGATCCGTCTATAGATCAGTCTATAGATCCGTCTATAGATCAGTCTATAGATCCGTCTATAGATCCGTCTATAGATCCGTCTATAGATCAGTCTATAGATCCGTCTATAGATCAGTCTATAGATCCGTCAATAGATCAGTCTATAGATCCGTCTATAGATCAGTCCATAGATCAGTCTATAGATCAGTCTATAGATCCGTCTATAGATCAGTCTATAGATCCGTCTATAGATCCGTCTATAGATCAGTCCATAGATCAGTCCATAGATCAGTCCATAGATCCGTCTATAGATCAGTCTATAGATCCGTCTATAGATCAGTCAATAGATCCGTCTATAGATCCGTCTATAGATCAGTCTATAGATCCGTCTATAGATCCGTCTATAGATCAGTCTATAGATCAGTCCATAGATCAGTCTATAGATCAGTCAATAGATCCGTCTATAGATCAGTCTATAGATCAGTCTATAGATCCGTCTATAGATCCGTCTATAGATCAGTCTATAGATCCGTCTATAGATCAGTCTATAGATCCGTCTATAGATCAGTCTATAGATCCGTCTATAGATCAGTCTATAGATCAGTCCATAGATCCGTCTATAGATCAGTCTATAGATCAGTCCATAGATCAGTCTATAGATCAGTCTATAGATCAGTCTATAGATCAGTCTATAGATCAGTCTATAGATCCGTCTATAGATCAGTCTATAGATCAGTCTATAGATCAGTCTATAGATCAGTCCATAGATCCGTCTATAGATCAGTCTATAGATCAGTCTATAGATCAGTCCATAGATCAGTCCATAGATCAGTCTATAGATCAGTCTATAGATCCGTCTATAGATCAGTCTATAGATCAGTCTATAGATCAGTCTATAGATCAGTCCATAGATCAGTCTATAGATCAGTCTATAGATCAGTCTATAGATCAGTCCATAGATCAGTCTATAGATCCGTCTATAGATCAGTCCATAGATCAGTCTATAGATCAGTCTATAGATCAGTCTATAGATCAGTCCATAGATCAGTCTATAGATCAGTCTATAGATCAGTCTATAGATCAGTCCATAGATCAGTCTATAGATCCGTCTATAGATCAGTCTATAGATCCGTCTATAGATCAGTCTATAGATCAGTCTATAGATCCGTCTATAGATCCGTCTATAGATCAGTCTATAGATCAGTCTATAGATCCGTCTATAGATCAGTCTCTGGATCCGTATATAGATCAGTCTATAGATCAGTCTATAGATCCGTCTATAGATCAGTCCATAGATCAGTCTATAGATCAGTCTATAGATCAGTCCATAGATCCGTCTATAGATCAGTCCATAGATCAGTCTATAGATCCGTCTATAGATCAGTCTATAGATCAGTCTATAGATCCGTCTATAGATCAGTCTATAGATCCGTCTATAGATCCGTCTATAGATCAGTCTATAGATCCGTCTATAGATCAGTCTATAGATCAGTCTATAGATCCGTCTATAGATCAGTCCATAGATCCGTCTATAGATCAGTCTATAGATCAGTCTATAGATCAGTCTCTAGATCAGTCTATAGATCCGTCTATAGATCAGTCTATAGATCCGTCTATAGATCCGTCTATAGATCAGTCTATAGATCAGTCCATAGATCCGTCTATAGATCAGTCTATAGATCAGTCTATAGATCCGTCTATAGATCAGTCTATAGATCAGTCTATAGATCCGTCTATAGATCCGTCTATAGATCAGTCCATAGATCAGTCTATAGATCCGTCTATAGATCCGTCTATAGATCAGTCTATAGATCCGTCTATAGATCAGTCCATAGATCAGTCTATAGATCAGTCTATAGATCCGTCTCTGGATCAGTCTATAGATCCGTCTATAGATCTGTCTATAGATCAGTCCATAGATCAGTCTATAGATCCGTCTATAGATCCGTCTATAGATCAGTCCATAGATCCGTCTATAGATCAGTCTATAGATCAGTCTATAGATCCGTCTATAGATCAGTCTATAGATCCGTCTATAGATCTGTCTATAGATCCGTCTATAGATCAGTCTATAGATCAGTCTATAGATCCGTCTATAGATCAGTCCATAGATCAGTCTATAGATCCGTCTATAGATCTGTCTATAGATCAGTCTCTAGATCAGTCTATAGATCCGTCTATAGATCAGTCTATAGATCAGTCTATAGATCCGTCTATAGATCCGTCTATAGATCAGTCTATAGATCCGTCTATAGATCCGTCTATAGATCAGTCTATAGATCAGTCTATAGATCCGTCTATAGATCAGTCTATAGATCAGTCTATAGATCCGTCTATAGATCAGTCTATAGATCAGTCTCTAGATCAGTCTATAGATCCGTCTATAGATCAGTCCATAGATCCGTCTATAGATCAGTCTATAGATCCGTCTATAGATCAGTCTATAGATCAGTCTATAGATCCGTCTATAGATCAGTCTCTAGATCAGTCTATAGATCCGTCTATAGATCAGTCTATAGATCAGTCTATAGATCAGTCTATAGATCAGTCTATAGATCAGTCTATAGATCAGTCTATAGATCCGTCTATAGATCAGTCTATAGATCAGTCTATAGATCAGTCTATAGATCCGTCTATAGATCAGTCTATAGATCCGTATATAGATCCATCTATAGATCCGTCTATAGATCAGTCCATAGATCAGTCTATAGATCAGTCTATAGATCCGTCTATAGATCAGTCTATAGATCAGTCTATAGATCCGTCTATAGATCAGTCTATAGATCAGTCTATAGATCCGTCTATAGATCCGTATATAGATCCGTCTCTGGCTCTCCGCTTTCGTTCTCTCCCCCCTGATGGACATCAGGATACTGGCGGTCCTCCCCTCCAGACCTGGACGGTTCCTGTAGAACCTTCTGGACGGTTCCTGTAGAACTTTCTGGACGGTCCCTGTAGAACCTTCTGGGCGGTCCCTGTAGAACCTTCTGGACGGTTCCTGTAGAACCTTCTGGACGGTCCCTGTAGAACTTTCTGGACGGTCCCTGTAGAACCTTCTGGACGGTCCCTGTAGAACCTTCTGGACGGTCCCTGTAGAACCTTCTGGACGGTTCCTGTAGAACCTTCTGGACGGTCCCTCTAGAACCTTCTGGACGGTCCCTGTAGAACCTTCTGGACGGTTCCTGTAGAACCTTCTGGACGGTTCCTGTAGAACTTTCTGGACGGTCCCTGTAGAACCTTCTGGACGGTTCCTCTAGAACCTTCTGGACGGTTCCTGTAGAACTTTCTGGACGGTTCCTGTAGAACTTTCTGGACGGTCCCTGTAGAACCTTCTGGACGGTTCCTCTAGAACCTTCTGGACGGTTCCTCTAGAACCTTCTGGACGGTTCCTGTAGAACCTTCTGGACGGTTCCTGTAGAACCTTCTGGACGGTTCCTGTAGAACCTTCTGGACGGTTCCTGTAGAACTTTCTGGACGGTTCCTGTAGAACCTTCTGGACGGTTCCTGTAGAACCTTCTGGACGGTTCCTGTAGAACTTTCTGGACGGTCCCTGTAGAACCTTCTGGACGGTTCCTCTAGAACCTTCTGGACGGTTCCTGTAGAACCTTCTGGACGGTTCCTGTAGAACCTTCTGGACGGTTCCTCTAGAACCTTCTGGACGGTTCCTGTAGAACCTTCTGGACGGTTCCTGTAGAACCTTCTGGACGGTTCCTGTAGAACCTTCTGGACGGTTCCTGTAGAACTTTCTGGACGGTCCCTGTAGAACCTTCTGGACGGTCCCTCTAGAACCTTCTGGACGGTTCCTGTAGAACCTTCTGGACGGTTCCTGTAGAACTTTCTGGACGGTCCCTGTAGAACCTTCTGGACGGTTCCTCTAGAACCTTCTGGACGGTCCCTCTAGAACCTTCTGGACGGTCCCTGTAGAACCTTCTGGACGGTCCCTGTAGAACCTTCTGGACGGTTCCTGTAGAACCTTCTGGACGGTTCCTGTAGAACCTTCTGGACGGTTCCTGTAGAACTTTCTGGACGGTCCCTGTAGAACCTTCTGGACGGTTCCTCTAGAACCTTCTGGACGGTCCCTGTAGAACCTTCTGGACGGTCCCTGTAGAACTTTCTGGACGGTCCCTGTAGAACCTTCTGGACGGTCCCTGTAGAACCTTCTGGACCTCCCCGGTTCTTGTGCCTGATAATAACATTCTGTGGGCGGTTCTCCAGGGTTCTCTGTGGGCGAGGTGACGGTGAACTCCTCAGGACTTCTGCACCAGGTCCAGCTGCTCCACTTCCACCAGGTAACCCCGACCCTACTGGGACCAGAACCGCCCTGTCCTACGCTGCCAGCAGAACTTAAACGCCTCTGTGTCCTCAGGTGTACCAGGCCTTCCGGATCAGCGTGGTGAGCAGTTGCCGTGGGAACGCAGGTAGGCGGCGCTGGGCGTGTCTGGGTCTGCATCCCGCCCTCTCGGTTCCACCTATGTTCTGCTTTTGTGTGCGCAGACCGACTCCCCAGCGTCTACCGCCTACGGGTTCCTTGGTTCCGAGAGGACTCCTTTACCACAGCCAGGTGACCTTCGTATTTCAGCCCGTTGGAAAGTTCTGAGGTTCTGGTTTGACCCGGTTGGTTCTGTGTGCCAGTGTGCCGTCGGCCTCCGAGATCTCAGGGATGCTTCACACCAGTCGCCCCGGAAATTTCTCCAATGTCCTGCTGCAGCTGCACACCGCCCCCAACTGCCAGTATAAGGTACTCCAGGACCTCCAGGTCCAACTCACCTACCAGAACCTCATCAGAACGGATCAGCAGAACCAAACCACCAGGCATTGCGGTGGCGTTCCTCCTCCGCCCGGTGATTCAGGTTCAGCGGTTTATTCGACGTGACTAAACTTTTCCTTCAGCTCAGTTTTCCATCTGACAGCTCGCCTCCTGAGCTCTGACAGATCCAGAGACTGATTGGGTCCCACCACCAGAACCTCAAGGTTCTTCCAGAACCGTTCTGATGATGGTTGTAGTTGCGATGAAGGTTGTTGACCAATGAGTGAATATCCTCTTTCCTGCCTCAGGTGTCGATCAGAACCTCCTTCCCCAAGGTTCTGGGACAGGTAAGCCACCTTCCTTCATCCTTTCAGAACTTCTTGTTGGGTTTGCTGATCTGAACCAGAACTGGATCGGTTCTGTTTCAGGTGCTGAGGTTCTGTGGTCCCATGGTTCCGGTCTACACCGCTGTCACTCTCCTGCTGGCCTGCAGGGGGCAGCTGTGCTCCATCCTGAGGTCGGGCAGAGCAGCAGACATGATGCAGGTGGTGAGCGCAGGCCTGCAGCCTCATCAAGTTCTCCTTCCTGTCTACCTGCTGCATGTTCTCCTCAGGTGAGCTCTGGCTCCGCCCTCCGTTCCCCCTGACCCTCACCTGGGTCACCTAATGGTTCTGTGGTTCTCTCAGCTGTAGCTGCCTTCAGGACATCTCCTCCGTCCTCGGTCTCCCCCCAGAGGACACTCTCCCCCCCACCTTCCCTGATGGGGTTGAAGGGGCGGAGTCACACGAGGAGTGGCCCCACCTCCTTTCTCCTCTGTTGTATGTTCTGGGAGCAGCTGTGGCGTTCTGGGGCAGCGCTCTGCTCCGCCTCCTCATCCGCCTCGTCTCCCTGTTTCTGGCTCCGCTGCACAGGTAGCGCAGAACAATCGGACCCCGCCGCTGGTCTGTCCTCATTTCTGACTCCTCCCTGCTGTGTTCCTGCAGACCGTCTGTCTCCAGAACCAGTGGAACGCTGAGTCTGCAGACCCAGTTCCTCCTGGGTGTCTGTCTGTATGCTGCAGCCTGGATGTTCTGTGGAGCTCTGGCCATCTTCACCTCCTGTCTGCTCCACCTGTACCGGGTACCACTGTAGAACCTCATTCACTGCCTGTCGAACCTCATTCACTGCCTGTCGAACCTCATTTACTGCATGTAGAACCTCATTCTCTGCCTGTAGAACCTCATTCTCTGCCTGTAGAACCTCATGAACCTCATTCACTGCATGTAGAACCTCATTCACTGCATGTAGAACCTCATTCACTGCCTGTAGAACCTCATTCACTGCCTGTAGAATCTCATTCACTGCCTGTAGAACCTCATTCACTGCCTGTAGAACCTCATTCACTGCCTGTAGAACCTCATTTACTGCATGTAGAACCTCATTTACTGCATGTAGAACCTCATTCACTGCATGTAGAACCTCATGAACCTCATTCACTGCATGTAGAACCTCATTCACTGCATGTAGAACCTCATTCACTGCTTGTAGAACCTCATTCACTGCTTGTAGAACCTCATTCACTGCCTGTAGAACCTCATTCACTGCATGTAGAACCTCATTCACTGCCTGTAGAACCTCATTTACTGCCTGAAAAACCTCATTTACTGCCTGTAGAACCTCATTCACTGCCTGTAGAACCTCATTTACTGCATGTGGAACCTCATTCACTGCCTGTAGAACCTCATTCACTGCCTGTAGAACCTCATTTACTGCCTGAAAAACCTCATTTACTGCCTGTAGAACCTCATTCACTGCCTGTAGAACCTCATTCACTGCCTGTAGAACCTCATTTACTGCCTGTAGAACCTCATTCACTGCCTGTAGAACCTCATTTACTGCATGTAGAACCTCATTCACTGCCTGTAGAACCTCATTTACTGCCTGAAAAACCTCATTTACTGCCTGTAGAACCTCATTTACTGCCTGTAGAACCTCATTCACTGCCTGTAGAACCTCATTTACTGCCTGTAGAACCTCATTTACTGCCTGTAGAACCTCATTCACTGCCTGTAGAACCTCATTTACTGCCTGTAGAACCTCATTCACTGCCTGTAGAACCTCATTCACTGCCTGTAGAACCTCATTCACTGCCTGTAGAACCTCATTCACTGCATGTCGAACCTCATTCACTGCATGTAGAACCTCATTCACTGCATGTCGAACCTCATTCACTGCCTGCAGAACCTCATTTACTGCATGTAGAACCTCATTCACTGCATGTCGAACCTCATTCACTGCCTGCAGAACCTCATTCACTGCCTGCAGAACCTCATTTACTGCATGCAGAACCTCATTTACTGCATGCAGATCCTCATTTACTGCCTGTAGAACCTCATTCACTGCCTGTAGAACCTCATTCACTGCATGTCGAACCTCATTCACTGCATGTCGAACCTCATTCACTGCATGTCGAACCTCATTCACTGCCTGCAGAACCTCATTCACTGCCTGCAGAACCTCATTTACTGCATGCAGAACCTCATTTACTGCATGCAGATCCTCATTTACTGCCTGTAGAACCTCATTCACTGCCTGCAGAACCTCATTTACTGCATGTAGAACCTCATTTACTGCATGCAGAACCTCATTTACTGCATGTAGAACCTCATTCACTGCATGCAGAACCTCATTTACTGCATGCAGAACCTCATTCACTGCATGTAGAACCTCATTCACTACCTGCAGAACCTCATTTACTGCATGTAGAACCTCATGGAGGCTGAAAGAACGTCATCAGTGTTTGGCTTCTATGGATCAGAGCAGAATCTTTTATTCAAATCTAACTTCGATGGAACAAAAAGCTCAAGAACATCCAACCAGTTTTTATCCACTGATAGAACCTCCTTCAGCAACCAGCAGAACTTTATCTGCTTTACTTCAGCCTGAGGAACCTCCTTTAGAAGCTTTTAGAACCTCCTTCTTCAGCCTAAGAAACCACATGTAGAACCTCCTGTTGCAGCAGTAACTGTTGGTGGTTCATTGATGCTGAGAGGTTCTGATCCGCTGTTCAATTCTATTCAGTTTATTTCTATAGCTCCGATTCCCATCATGTCATCTCAGGTCTCTTTCCAGTTCACCAGATCATCCAGTCAGATTGATTCAAAGTTTTCTATCTCAGGAAAACCAGCTGATTGCATCGACTCATTGACTCTTCAGCAATCCCTCACTCTAAGCATGCTTGTAGCGACAGTGGAGAGGAAAAACTCCCTTTGAACAGGAAGAAACCTCCAGCAGAACCAGGCTCAGTGTGAGCGGCCATCTGCTGAGGCCCACTGGGGTTCAAGGAGACAGAAGCAGACATAGAAAAAGAAGCATAGATACAAAAGGCAACTGTCAACCAGCTCCACAGGCGGCCCCGTCCAGGAAACACACAGCCAGGCAGACGAGCTCCGAGCCAGCTCCCATGTCAGAGGATGAAGAGAGCACATCCAGTTAGTCACAGTCAGAGAAACAGGACTACACTGGAAAACAGGCCAAGCTCCAACATCTAGAAACAAAGGTGTTGATGGCAGCAGCACAGCTGATATTTCTCTCCAGGATGGAGTCACAGCCAAACAGGAACAGACCAGATGAAGCTACTATGAGAAAAAGCAGAGAGAGCAGAACGTTAGAGATTGAACTAACAGATTCTGCAGAGTGGGAGAATAGAGATAGAATGAAGCAGAATGATGAAAAAGGGGTCCCTACGTCCTCCAGCAGTCTAAGCCTATAGCAGCAGAACTATAGAGATAGATCAGGATAACCTGAGCCACTCTAACTAGAAGCTTTATCAAAAAGGAAAGTTTTAAGCCTAGCCTTAAAAGTAGACAGGGTGTCTGCCTCACGGACTAAAACTGGTAGTTGGTTCCACAGGAGAGGAGCCTGAGAACTAAAAGATCTGCCTCCCATTCTACTTTTAGAAGTTCTAGGAACCACTAGTAAACCTGCAGATCTAGAGCGAAGTGCTCTGTTAGGAACATAAGGACATTTTCATCTTCAATCTGGCTGAGGAAGATCTATCATTAACGTGAACAAACTGAATTCGATCAGATAGATAAGATTTAAACCAGTCTAGTGCTGTTTCTTTTATTCTAACAAAATATTCAAGTCTTTCTAAAAGAATATTATGGTCAACTGTATCAAATGCAGCACTAAGATCCAACAGGACGAGCACAGATACAAGTCCATTATCTGAGGCCATGAGAATATCATTAGTGACTTTCACCAGAGCTGTTTCAGTGCTATGATGAGCTCTAAAGCCAGACTGAAACTCTTCAAAAAGTTCATTATGGTGGAAGTGATCGCAAACTTGTTTGGCAACTACTTTCTCAAGAATTTTAGATCAGAAAGGAAGATTGGATATAGGTCTATAATTGACCAAGTCGTCTGGGTCAAGAGACGGTTTCTTAAGCAGAGGTTTAATTCCAGCAACCTTAAAAGCTTTAGGTACATATCCCTGTAACAGAGATAGATTAATCACATCTGAAATGGAGGAGGAGATCAAAGGGAATACCTCCTTAAATAACCTGGTTGGAACTGGATCTAACATCCAAGTTGAAGGCTTAGATGAAGACAATAGTTTAGCTAACTCTGAAAGTTCAACTGGATCAAAGCAGTCTAAACCGGTTCAGATTCCATGACTACCTCAGATGCTGCCCACTTCTGTAGAAGGTGGACCTGGTTCTGTAGAAGGTGGACCTGGTTCTGTAGAATGTGGACCTGGTTCCGTAGAAGGTGGACCTGGTTCTGTAGAATGTGGCTCTATAGACCCAAACCCAGCAGCTTGTGTTCTTGTTCCTTTCAGGTTCTCAGGCTGCAGATGACGGAACGATCTTTGGGTCACATGCTGAATCTGGTACGTTCCACGCCGTCCCCACGCCGCTGCTCAGGTTGTTTATTAACGAGTCCATTCCTCCAGGCTCCTAACAAACGGAAAGTAACCGCTAACGGTGCGCCAGAGGCAGAACCTCAGAGCGGAACCTCGCCGCGTGGCGGCGCCCCCCTGCTGTCTGAAGGTGCGCTGCAGGAGGTGAGGGACGACCTGCAGCTCCACCTCAGCCTAATGCCGCTGCTCATTCTTCCCGTCATGCTCAGCGCGCCGTCGCTCATCCACTGGAGCCGCAACCTAAGGTACCGGCGCCGCCAAGGTTCCTGGGAGCGTTTGAACTGGAAAGGATCCGATTGGACCTTCTGTGACCTCAGAGCTTAATTTTCTCTAACGGGTTCTGTGATCCTGAACAGGTTCTCCACCCGGTTGGATCCAGATCCATGGTGGCTTCACTCCGTGATGCTGGCGTCCGTCTACCTGCTGCTCATCAACGCCACCGTGTCCAAACTCAGCATCAGGTAGAAGCTCCCGTCCACCGCTCCTCCTTGGAGAACGCAGAGAGCTGGAGGTTCTCTGGAATATTCTAGTCAGAACCGTTATAGGTCAGAACATGGAGGCTGGTTCCAACTGGAAATATGAACACGGAACCTCTCTGCCCGACATAGATGAGCAGAACGCAGAACAAAACAGAACCGGGTTCCTTTAGCAGAACCAGGTTGGTCCCAGTCCTACCAACTTAATCCCTGTTAGTGTTTTTATTTTGGTCTGATAATCTGGATCAGTAACGCCTCCAACAGCATGGAGAACCTCCTATAGAACCATGGAGAACCTCCTATAGAACCATGGAGAACCTTCTATAGAACCATGGAGAACCTCCTATGGAACCATGCAGAACCTCCTATAGAACCATGGAGAACCTCCTATAGAACCATGGAGAACCTCCTATAAAACCATGGAGAACCTCCTATAGAACCATGGAGAACCTCCTATAGAACCATGGAGAACCTCCTATAGAACCATGGAGAACCTCCTATAGAACCATGGAGAACCTCCTATAGAACCATGGAGAACCTCGTATAGAACCATGGAGAACCTCCTATAAAACCATGGAGAACCTCCTATAGAACCATGGAGAACCTCCTATAGGACCATGGAGAACCTCCTATAGGACCATGGAGAACCTCCTATAGAACCATGGAGAACCTCCTTTAGAACCATGGAGAACCTCCTATAGAACCATGGAGAACCTCCTATAGAACCACGGAGAACCTCCTATCGAACCATGGAGAACCTCCTATAGAACCATGGAGAACCTCCTATAGAACCATGGAGAACCTCCTATAGAACCATGGAGAACCTCCTATAGAACCATGGAGAACCTCGTATAGAACCATGGAGAACCTCCTATAAAACCATGGAGAACCTCCTATAGAACCATGGAGAACCTCCTATAGAACCATGGAGAACCTCCTATAGAACCATGGAGAACCTCCTATAGAACCACGGAGAACCTCCTACAGAACCATGGAGAACCTCCTATAGAACCATGGAGAACCTCCTATAGAACCACGGAGAACCTCCTATAGAACCATGGAGAACCTCCTATAGAACCATGGAGAACCTCTTATAAAACCATGGAGAACCTCCTATAGGACCATGGAGAACCTCCTATAGAACCATGGAGAACCTCCTATAGAACCATGGAGAACCTCCTATAGAACCATGGAGAACCTCTTATAAAACCATGGAGAACCTCCTATAGAACCATGGAGAACCTCCTATAGAACCATGGAGAACCTCCTATAGAACCATGGAGAACCTCCTATAGAACCATGGAGAACCTCCTATAGGACCATGGAGAACCTCCTATAGGACCATGGAGAACCTCCTATAGAACCATGGAGAACCTCCTATAGGACCATGGAGAACCTCCTATAGGACCATGGAGAACCTCCTATAGAACCATGGAGAACCTCCTATAGAACCATGGAGAACCTCTTATAAAACCATGGAGAACCTCCTATAGAACCATGGAGAACCTCCTATAGAACCATGGAGAACCTCCTATAGAACCATGGAGAACCTCCTATAGAACCATGGAGAACCTCCTATAGAACCATGGAGAACCTCCTATAGGACCATGGAGAACCTCCTATCAGAACCTTTTGTGTTTTGTTAAAATGTGAAATGAAAGCAGAAATTTCTGCGGTTTGTTCCTCTGGTTCCACACGAGTTCCGTCTCTGACCTGTAAGGTTCTGATGAAGATCTAGAGCTGAGAACCAATCAGAACCAGCTCTGTGTTTATAGCTCCTCCTCCTCTCTCTCACAGCAGACTCCTGCCAGTCATCTCCCGCCTCCCTCTCCCATTGGCTGTCACCATGGCAACCTTCTCTTCACTCCACCTCTACAGACTCGCCTACTTCCTGGAGGCAGTGCTGGTTCCCCTGGCCTTCTGCTTCATCTTCTGATTGGACCCGCTCCGCTGGTCCCGGGTCCAGCCGAGCCATAGAAATACAAAGCCTAGAACCGCCACCAAGAGGTCCGATTTAAAAAGAAAAGCGGCTGGAGGAGCTGTTGTGACCCGCTGGATGTCCTGACACCATGTTTGCCTTACTCTGTGTCTGTAGTTCTGCCTTCTGTCTGTGGACGGCGCCGTGCGTGACCCGGTCCACCCACGGCGCCGTCTTCTAATACTGCCTGCAGTCGGGTCAGGGCCCAGAACCAGAACCGCTGACAGAACTGTTTACATTCATCAGGAGAACAGGAAGTCCACTTTGGGTCAGGGTTCTGGTTCCGTTTACTATCTGACCCAATCACTTGATGATACGAGGAAGCAGAACCGTTTGGAAGCTCTCATAGACTGACCTCTGTGACCCCTGCTGACCTCTGTGACCCCTGCTGACCTCTGTGACCCCTGCTGACCTCTGATGACTCGTCAAAATAAAAGCCTCAGCAGTTTGTCACCACTCGGCACCTTTTAAGCTGATTTCTGTTCCTCTCCTAGCCGCCATCTTGGATTATTATCACGCTCTGATGAAGTTATGTTTTCCTGCTCAGTGATTCGGGTTTATGAACACATTCAGAACCGGTCCATAAGGTTTAACTGAGCGGTTCTGGTTCTGGTAACATCCTGTCAGACTGGATTTCTCTGGTTCCTCATTAGTGTTCTTAGGTTCTGTCTTTTCGGGCTGATTAGAACCTGCAGGTTCTGTGATGGTGAACGTCTTCTTGTCAGCTGTTCTGTGCAGGTATGGCGTGGTCGTCACCGTGCGCCGACCTTCTAGAGGAGACGAGTGAAAGCTCTGATGTTCTCTGATGTTCTCTGATGTTCTCTGATGTTCTGTGTCGCTGTGAATCTTCCTGCAGCAGGAAACTCAAAGGAAGGTTTTTATGCTGCTTTTTTTGGGCTCAGAGGGAAGTTTTTTTTGGTTTTCTGTTTAAAATGTGATTGTTTTTTATTTTTTGTGTGTGTGTGTGTGGGGGGGGGGGTATTTAGATGGTTTGAGGAACATCTCGTCTCTTTTGGTTCCTGCTGGTTGAAAACTGAGGTTTAGACTCCAGAACCTGGCTGCTCCATGTTTCTGGATGAGCTCCGTCCTTCAGGTCGGTTTAGAGCTGATTGGAGAACCCAGGACCAGGTGAAGCTTCTCAGTCAGCGTCTGTGAAGGAATCCCTCCTCCAGTGTTTCCAGTCGCCCCACCAGACCTGATGGTGCCACATGGGCCAATCATGTTTGCCTTAATTTGTCCAGCCTGTACCTCCTGTTGGCTGGTTCCGGTCCTGGTCCCGGTCCGGTCCAGGTCCGGTCAGGAAACGCTGACCCGTCATAAATGTGCGATGTGCCCTGAAACCGAACAAACGCTGGAGATGTTTCTGAAGGTCTTTCATCCTCAGGTTTCTCTGTTGTATAAAATCTGGTTCATGTTTTTCTATTTCTCCTGTTTCTAGTTGAGTGAAATGTAAATGGGACTTTTTGGCACAAATGTTTGAATAAAAGTGATAAAAACAATTCCATCCATTTTCTGTTATTTTCTTTATCGGACGGCTCTGAGTGTTTAAGTCTGATTTATTTCTGGTTCATCAGAGATGATCCACGTCATGGTGTTTAGGTCAGGGTGCAGTTCCTGATTAGCCCCTGATGGGGGCAGCATTTCCCTGCAGCATCAGGACCATGGAGGCAGAGCTAGAAACACCTGGTAGATGTCTGACAGCGGCAGCAGGACCTGCCCTACCTGGACTGGGTCCTGGAGGGTCCGCCTTCTCACCGCCTGTCACTCAGCCTACGCTGTCGCCTAGCAACCATGACAGTCGACACACAGAGCATTTATTGTCTCCAACCTGCAGAGATGTTAGAATCACCCAAACCCGTTTTAAACTTTCCTTTCTGATAGAGCTTCTAGTTAGAGTGGCTCAGGTTATCCTGAGCTATCTCTATAGTTCTGCTGCTATAGGCTTAGACTGCTGGAGGACATAGGGACCCCTTTCATCATCCTGCTTACTCCCAGTTATGATTTATATTTGATCACAAACTGTTTTCTCTCTGCTGTTGTTATTTCTATAGAAGGTACACCTGGCCTTGCTCAGCCTGAGCCATGCACACCTTCCTGTTCTCCCATAGATGATGATCTGGACCTCCTGCTGGCCTCCTGGTTGATCAGACTGAAGGAGCTTCTGTCTCCATGCAGTCAGACCATCAGCTCCATCCATCAGCCGCATAGCAAACATTAAATGATGGGAGATCTTTTGATCTAAAGGTGTTTATAAGAAGGACGGCCTCTGATTGGACGGCAGCGTGTTGATCTACAGGTTGGCTGAGGCCCCGCCCACTCCGGTATTTTCCCCACATTAATATGCAGAGAGGCGAGTTGGAGAAGCGGACTGTCCCTGCGCTGCTGGAGGGACCAGAGCGGCAGGAAGCGGCAGGAAGCAGGACGCCATCCTGCGGTCAGCAGCTGCAGAGAGAGGAAGAGGAGGAGGAAGGGTAGCCGCAGGATTTTCATGCACCTCTGGACCGGAACCGACCCGCTACGTGACTGAAGGAGCACCGAGAGGAGGAGGAGGCCTTCCTCCATCCCGCAGCTCTGCGTCAAAGGTAAGCGGTGTGATGAAGGCTCTGCTGCGGGGATGGAGGTGATGATGATGATGATGCGGCCGCAGCCTCTGCTCCATCAGCAGGATGATCTTCATCCTCACGGTGCTGCTGCTGCAGACCTGATGACGTAGGGAATCCCCACAGCAACCCGAGAGCCCCGCATATCCCGCATATCCCGCATGAACCGCTCACAAAGATGCTGTTATGTTAGGGGGGGGGGTTATCGATCATATCGATCCAGTCTAAACCAGTTTACGGTGAAAGGTGAGCTCAGTGAGGATGATGATGATTCTTCATCTCTGATCCATCATCATCATCATCATCATCATCATCATCCAGAGCTTCCAGATGTTCTTCTGACCCAGAAGGATCATGATGTTCTCAGACCTCCTGATGCTGGTTCTCCTCAGAGAGGAAGACATGAAGGAGCTCAGAACTGGACTCCTCAGCTCCTCTCCTCCTCCTCCTCTCCTCCTCCTCAGCTCCTCTCCTCCTCTCCTCCTCCTCAGCTCCTCTCCTCCTCCTCTCCCCCTCCTCTCATCTCCTCCTCTCCTCCTCAGCTCCTCTCCTCCTCCTCTCCCCCTCCTCTCATCTCCTCCTCTCCTCCTCAGCTCCTCTGCTCCTCCTCTCATCTCCTCCTCAGCTCTAGATCAGTCTCAGTTCCAGATCTTCCAGGAGGACCAGGGCCTCAGCAGGTTCCTGCTGATGGGGACCCAGATGTTGGTCCTGTGGTTCTCCTGTGGGTTCTGGTTTCTGTAGATCTGGACTCCAGATTCCTCTTGAATCAAACTTATTGCAGTTCTATTGCTAATTTTCTGCAGCTCAGATGTTTTTCTGCATGAAGATCTAAAGTTCTCCATGTTCCACCAGAGGATGGAGGATAAAGGAGCTCAGTGTAGAGAACAGCTCCTCCTCCAGCAGCCAGTAGACCTGTTTCTGGATCATGACCTCTGACCTCTGAGGCGGAGCTGCAGGGTTCCTCTGACGCTGAACCATGCTGAAGGTTCTGCTCAAACACGTCCCGCTCAGATGGAGCATTCTGGTGTCACATCTAGTAGACACAGATCTATATCCTCTGTCTTTCCAGAACAGATGTTTATATCTGAGGATCCTGCTCAGACTCTGGTTCTCCTGAGAACTTAGAACGTCTCCTGGAAGCAACAGAACCAGCTTCACTCTGATGGTGGAACAGAAGCTTCTGGAGATCAGCCAGAAGCTTCACTTCTTCATCTGCTGGTTGCTGAATCCCATCCATCCATCCTCCATCATCCATCCATCCATCATCCATCCATCCATCCATCATCCATCCATCCATCCATCCATCCATCCATCCATCCATCCATCCATCCATCCATCCATCCATCCCTCTCTCTCTCTCTGAGTTCGGCCCAGATCAGCAGCACCTCTTTTAATCTGAAGGTTTTATCTTTCATCTGAGACCTGATCAATAGAATCTTTTCTGACTCCAATTCACATCAAGTCATCTCAGGTCACTTTATAGATCAAGATCGATCAGATCATCCAGTCAGATTTAAGGTTCTAGTTAGAGATAGAAATGTTGAACAGAAGTTCCTCCTTTTCCAGCAGAGAGAGCAGAACGTTAGAGATTGAACTAACAGATTCTGCAGAGTGGGAGAATAGAGATAGAATGAAGCAGAATGATGAAAAAGGGGTCCCTATGTCCTCCAGCAGTCTAAGCCTATAGCAGCAGAACTATAGAGATAGATCAGGATAACCTGAGCCACTCTAACTAGAAGCTTTATCAAAAAGGAAAGTTTTAAACCTAGCCTTAAAAGTAGACAGAGTGTCTGCCTCACGGACTAAAACTGGTAGTTGGTTCCACAGGAGAGGAGCCTGAGAACTAAAAGATCTGCCTCCCATTCTACTTTTAGAAGTTCTAGGAACCACTAGTAAGACCAAAAGGACACATCAGGGTGCAAATATTTATCACAGCACTGTGTCCCTGCAGCTGCCCCCCCCCAGCCTCCTGTAGCCGGGCCGGTCTGGGCCAGTCTGGGTCGGTCTGGGTCGGTCTGGGTCAGCTGGGTCTTCTGTGGTCTTCAGGTTCCAGATGTTTGTGCTCCAACACCTGGATAGTTTGATGAGCTCATTATTTTAGATCTCAGTCAATCATCTGGTCATGGAGTTCGCCGCGGCCCGGTTCTGACCCGTTTCTCTGGTCCAGGTGTGTTGGAGGTCGGTCCTGATCAGGGATCTCCTGGAGTCCTCTCTTCCTGGTCTGGTTCTACGGTCCAGCTCATGTTCTGTGTTCTCCTCTGTTCCTCTCAGGTTCCTCGGCCCTCTGGAAGCAGGGAACCGGATCTGAAGACCTCTACATGTTCTTCATCCTCCCCAGAGCTCAGCGACCATCATCATCTTCATTCTGAGAAGCTCTTTATCTCTCGTTGTCCACCATGCGTCCTTCCCTTGCCACAGCGGTCCTGCCCGCCAGAACCCGTTCCCATAACCCCCCCAACCTAGCGGTGGGGGCCCGCGAACACCTGTCTGCGCCCCGCAGACGCAGCCCCCACCTGCGCCACACCTTGAGCCCAGACAACCTGCGGACGCTGGCGGAGAGGGGCGGGGCGGCCGTGGATGCCGTGTCGGTGGTGGGCGGACCTATCGGGCTGATGCGGGCCAACAGCGACACGGACCTGGTGAGCTCCCAGAGCCGGTCCTCGCTCACAGCGTCCACCCTGGAGTACACGCTGAACCGCGGCCAGAACCTGGTCATTTCCTGGGACATCAAGGAGGAGGTGGACGCCACCGACTGGATCGGGCTGTACCACATCGGTGAGACGGGGACGCTTCTTCATCAAGTTCTAGGTTCTAGATCAGTTCTGACTCTTCATCAGTCCCACACAGATTAGGAGAACCTAGATTTGCTACGTGTCATCCATCATCAAGTTCCTGTTCCCGGCTCTTTATGAGTTCCTGGTTCCTGTTGAGTTCCTGGTTCATGTTGAGTTCCTGGTTCATGTCAACATATTCTCATTATCAGTTCGTATGAAATCGTACGAAAAGTTATGCACACTATTTCGTACGTTTTGGACGTTTTTCCTCGAAAAACCCGATCAGTGTCCAATGCGCTGGCAGACAGAAAAAAAAAACAGATCCGCGGACGGACGGAAAACTGGGAAAAACAGTGCAATCATCACTTATTCATGTCTCTAACTGCGTTGCTTGCTGTTTTATATCTTAGGGTTAGGGCTAATTGTAATTTATATTCTATATTCGTGAATGGTGCGTAAAATGCGCATACGACGAAAAAAACGTCCAAAACAGACGAAATTACCGTGCATAACTTTTCATAAGATTTCATACGAACTCATAATGAGAATACACTGTTCCTGTTGAGTTCTTGGTTCATGTTGAGTTCCTGGTTCCTGCTCAGTTCCTGGTTCCTGCTCAGTTCCTGGTTCATGTTCAGTTCCTGGTTCCTGCTCAGTTCCTGGTTCATGTTCAGTTCCTGGTTCCTGCTCAGTTCCTGGTTCATGTTGAGTTCCTGGTTCCTGTTGAGTTCCTGGTTCCTGTTGAGTTCCTGATTCATGTTCAGTTCTTGGTTCATGTTGAGTTCCTGGTTCCTGCTCAGTTCCTGGGTTATGTTGAGTTCCTGGTTCCTGTTGAGTTCCTGATTCATGTTCAGTTCCTGGTTCCTGTTGAGTTCCTGGTTCCTGCTCAGTTCCTGGTTCCTGTTCAGTTCCTGGTTCCTATTGAGTTCCTGGTTCATGTTGAGTTCCTGGTTCCTGCTCAGTTCCTGGTTCCTGCTCAGTTCCTGGTTCATGTTCAGTTCCTGGTTCCTGCTCAGTTCCTGGTTCCTGCTCAGTTCCTGGTTCATGTTCAGTTCCTGGTTCCTGCTCAGTTCCTGGTTCATGTTGAGTTCCTGGTTCCTGTTGAGTTCCTGATTCATGTTCAGTTCTTGGTTCATGTTGAGTTCCTGGTTCCTGCTCAGTTCCTGGGTTATGTTGAGTTCCTGGTTCCTGTTGAGTTCCTGATTCATGTTCAGTTCCTGGTTCCTGTTGAGTTCCTGGTTCCTGCTCAGTTCCTGGTTCCTGTTCAGTTCCTGGTTCCTATTGAGTTCCTGGTTCATGTTGAGTTCCTGGTTCCTGCTCAGTTCCTGGTTCCTGCTCAGTTCCTGGTTCATGTTCAGTTCCTGGTTCCTGCTCAGTTCCTGGTTCCTGCTCAGTTCCTGGTTCATGTTCAGTTCCTGGTTCCTGCTCAGTTCCTGGTTCATGTTGAGTTCCTGGTTCCTGTTGAGTTCCTGATTCATGTTCAGTTCTTGGTTCATGTTGAGTTCCTGGTTCCTGCTCAGTTCCTGGGTTATGTTGAGTTCCTGGTTCCTGTTGAGTTCCTGATTCATGTTCAGTTCCTGGTTCCTGTTGAGTTCCTGGTTCCTGCTCAGTTCCTGGTTCCTGTTGAGTTCCTGATTCATGTTCAGTTCCTGGTTCATGTTGAGTTGCTGGTTCCTGTTCAGTTCCTGGTTCCTATTGAGTTCCTGGTTCATTTTGAGTTCCTGGTTCCTGTTGAGTTCCCAGTTCCTATTTGGAATAAACCCTGTTTGTTCTGGATGAACTAACATCTTAGCTAGATTTTTAGGTAAGTGTCTAATCAGGAAGTTGGCGTATACGAGCCGTCTTCTTCTGGGTCCTTTCCTTCTTTCATAGCAGGGTGACGGTGGCTTCAGTCAGAGCTTAGGGTAACACGCCGTCCTCATATGAGCGGGTAATAATGAACGCAGGGATGGAACCAGCAACACTCCAGTTTTTTGTAAATCTCGTTACTAAGCCCATCCGGTCCGGGGCTTTATCCATTGTTCAGTGATTGAATAGTTGCTAGTCGCTCCTCACAGCTAATGTCTGCATTTCAGATCTCTGCTTCGCTAAAGGATGGGAGGTCTTATCCAGAAATGACCGGCCGGCGCCCGGCGAGGCGTTGTGTTCTGATGTTTATAGATCCTTCTAGAATCGTGAGAATCTGTCACTAATGTCTTGGTGTGAAGGGAGGGCAGGTCCCGCTCATGAAGTGATTTCATGAACTGTTCTGTCATTTTCTATTTTCCACAGTTGTCTTTAGTTTTATGAGGTTTATCACCAAATTCAGAGTGTTTTTGTTTTGCTGCTGATCTTATCAGACGGTATTTTATTCAGCTCGTATTTGAGAGCAGGGATGTTTGTGTATTTTTCCTCAGACGGCTGTTGAGCTTTATTCCTGTCCAGCTCATCCATTTGTTTGTCGTTCCTAATTACTCTTCTAAGGGACGCTTTTAATGAGATAACAGCCTCTGAAATACGCCTTAAAGGTGAAACATCATCTTCATCAGTGGTTTCAGAAAATTGTTTTAGGTGCGTTTCTGGTTATTCACAGAACTTGATGTTTGTCAGGAGTTCTGGGTTGAATCTCCCAGTTTTCTGGGTGAATAATTTCCACAGGGAGTTTAAATGAAAATGATACCAGACTTCGGTCAGGAATAATAATAATGTTTTGGTATTTTGCATTATTACAACAGGCAAACAATTTGCCACCAGCGAGGAAGAAGTCTGTCCTTATGTAGACGTTCTGTTTTCTGGAATGAAAGGAGTCTCTGCCTGAAGAGCCGCCAAACATCAGCAGGAGAAATAATCTTTGTGTTTGATCTAAGGAGACCGCATCCCTCTGAGGTTCCATTCTAACGGTAGAGGATCTATCCAGAACTAGAGTAAAGTCACCACCAAGGACTGGAAATGTCTGCCATCAAAGTTACGACTTTTCTAAAATAATTCTGGGTCGTCATAGTTTGGTCCATAAATATTCAGTAAGGTCTTTGGGGGGGGGGACAAAGATGTCAGCAATTGTGGACATTGGTTTAAAATTAACCCCCCAGTTAAAAAAAGTTCCAAAGTAGTGGTGAAGTCAGTCAGTTACCTCGGTATTCCAGCAGGCAGGTGATCCAGGCCTTATATGACCAACAGGGAATGTTTGTAGTTCCCAGCAGAGGAACTTTTCTCCTGCATCTTCTCCCCGTCGCCTCCTTCTTCTTCAGGTGTGTTTTTATACGGCCAACCAGGCAACCAGCAAACGTCTCTGCGCCTGTAAATGTGGTCTCCTTGGCGTTATGCATAACTCTCAGCTCGGTATAGAAGGTTGAATCTCCCTCCAGCTTCGTCACGCAGCAGGTTTCTGTTTGGGGTGAAAGCAGAACGGCGTTCGACGGCAGCTGGAGGAAAGTCTCTGAAACTTTCTAGACTGCGCTACTTTCTTCAGGATTTCCTCGAAGGCATGACAGTAGTTACCCTGACGATCAAGTGCCGCAGTGGATCGCTATCACCGCCGCGCCCTCTCAGTGCCCTTGCAGCACCCCTGCAGTGCCCTCGCAGCGCCCTATGAGCTCAGTCAATCATTGGTCTTTCATCCTCTGTCAGCAGCTGTGCTACAGAGTCTCTAGTTTTTGGCCTGTTTTCCAGGCCCTCCTTCACTCCTGTAATTCGACCGCCCCTGAAGGTCCAGGAACTTTCTGACAGTTTATCAAATTAATTTAGCAGAGACTTAACTTTAGCTTGGAGATCCGTAGCAACATCGGAGTTAGCATCGTCCGACTCAGCGTGTCGTTTTGGCATTAAGGCGAGCATGTAGAGCAATTAATGCATCATCACTGTCCGTCTTCACATCAGCAATTTCACCTTAAGGCTGTGTTCACATCAGCAATCCTTTCATCTACTTTGGTGCAGATGTCCGATTTATCTTGTGCTAATTAGTCCTGTAGAGCAGCTATAGTGGTTAGCGTTGCTTGCTGATCCGCGCCTCGAGTGCTTCTTTCGGTGTCGCCTTTCCCACTCCGGCTCGGTGCTTCAGTTGGGCCTCCATCCTCAGTCGGTTCGGTCCTGGTTTTCGCTTTGATTCGCCCAGTTCACAGATCCACAGATATCCAGACTAATAATTCAGCTGGTATGTGTTCGGTTTGAAAGTTAAATTCTGCAGGAGCTACAGTTGGTGCATCTTATCTCCTCATCGCTCAACAGCGCCCCCTGGAAGAATGAAAATGTTCCACAGGTTGGGTTCTGCAAGGAACCAGATGACTGCAGCCTTCTGGGTCTTCTGGATCTAACGGTTCTTCTCCTGCCTGTAGATGAATCCAGTCCGTCCAACGTGTGGGACTGCAAGAACCGAGGGGTGAACGGGACCCAGAAGGGCCAGATTGTCTGGAGGTTGGAGGCCGGGCCGTACTTCATGGAGCGTAAGTGTTTCTACGGCTTTGTAAAGAAAATCATGGTCCAGAAGGAGGAAGGTCCGACTGGGAGGCGGTTCTAGGCCTGCGGCTCTGAGCTCATGTTTGCTCTTTCCTCCACAGCTGAGACCAAGATCTGCTTCAAGTACTACCATGGAGTGAGCGGAGCTCTGAGAGCGACCACCCCCTGCATCACCGTGAAGAACCCCGCTGTCCTGGTAGCTTGGCTGCTTCTGCTCCTTTAAACTGGAGCTCTCCTGGGAGGGAAATCAGGCTCAGTGACAGGAAGTGACATCAGAGCGCTGGGTGGATGTTCCTCCTCATGGAGATCTGCTCCATCAGGGTGGAACAACCAGAACCCGATCAGTGGCCTTCAGGAAGAAACCTCCTCAGGGAGTCAGAACATCCACCTGATAATAAAAATAATGATAATAATAATAATAATGATAATAATAATAATGACCCCATCCTGTTTAAAAGCAGGTTTCCAAAAGAATAAAATAATTACAACTTTAAGGAGAAAATTAAAGATGATTCCTTTTATCTCACAGATAAACATCAGAAACTTTGTGTTTGATGAAAGCTTCTCGTTAATCAGAGGATTATTATGCAATAAATCCTGCTGTGACTTCAGAGTTTAATCAGATAATATTGTTAATGAACACGCCCCCTACTGGCTGCATGTTAGAACCACAGGTTTGAATGGAGGGTCGGGGTCACATCATTCTGCAGATATGGATTCAATTCAAGATGAATTCATTAAAATCAAAGTTTATTAAAATCTTTCAGCTCCAAGTCAAACAGATTTCCCTTCAAAACGAAACTAAATGATGAAAAAATATCAGATTAATATTGTTTGATTTTATCTTAAAGAATTTGGCATCAAATTAGCTTTTGGATAAATTAGAGCATCTTGAATGTTTTCAAACCAATTCAATGCGAATCCATGAGGAAAATAAATTTTGGCCCAATAAATTTTTATTAAATGATCTGCTTAATCAGAACCAATAACCTTTAGTTAATTATTATTAACCTTCTATGATTGCTCCCTAAGGAATATGACTGCCTAGCTTCTTTAGCTAGCTTGGGTATTAGCATTGAAGCTAGCAGACCTGAGGGGATGCGTTCCTCTTTAATGGTATTCCAGCGATCAGGAACACCTTAATGTTGTTCCTGTGACGTTCTCCTGAAGGAACCGCGGCTCCTGGCGCTCTGCTGCGCCGTAACGATGTGGTCTCTGTGTCGCAGGTGGAGGGTGTCGCAGAGCAGGTGGGCGTAGAACATCCCCGGAAACTGATCAGCTTTACTTTAACCGGTGAGCTCCAGCAGGTGGCGTCTGCCTAGCTTCGGCTAAAGGTGGACGGTTTCCTGTAGTGTTCGGTCTGGGCTGTCGTTGCAGACCTGCGGGCCAACGGCTTGAAGAAAGGCATGTTCTTCAACCCTGACCCCTACCTGAAGATGTCCATCCATCCTGGGAAGAGAAACGTCTTCCCGGTCTTCAGCCATCATGGACAGGAGCGCCGCTCAGCCATCATCGCTAACACCACCAACCCGGTGTGGCACGGAGAGGTGAGTCTGCGTCCCCTCCTCCACTTGTTGCTCTGGAACCTTCTCACTGCTGTCATGCCTTCTGACAGAAATACACCTTCGTGGCGCTGATGACCGACATCCTCTACATCGAGGTGAAAGACAAGTTTGCTAAAAGTCGTCCAATCATCAAGCGTTTCCTGGGTCAGCTGGCCATCCCCGTGCAGCGGCTCATCGAAAAGATCCCAGGGTAGGAGGCGGAGCCACGGCTGGAGTCACGCTCAGTCAGTCAAACATTTACATCAACCTCTGTTGACCCCCTAACCCTAACCGGCGGAAGCTTCTAGAGCAGCGCCGCTGTGGTCCAGTCCTACAGAGTTGCCATCCTGTGATTCATCTCTAACACACCTGAATCTAAAGGCTCCGCCCCCTCAGCAGAGGCACGCTAACCAGCCGCTCCTCTGTGTTAAAGATGGATGGTGTCTGTGGAGGACTGGACCTGAGCGCTGCGGCTCACCTGATGACGACTCGTTTCTGTAGCCAACATTAATTCAAAGAGGGGCCTCCTGGTAGCAGCCTGGAGGCCCCTGGTAGCAGCCTGGAGGCCCCTGATGGACCCAGACAGGCAGTGGTCCGGGGGGGTGGGGGGAAGGGGATCAGTCCCACCCTGAACTGGTCATGACGCTCCTTCTCCCAGCAGTGACTGGAACCAAGAGGCTCCAGACTCATGGCGGTTTCTCCGGTTTCTCCCTGCAGAGTGCAGCCCGTCAGCTTCCCGCTGTGTCGACGCCTTCCCACCGAACACGTCAGCGGCCAGCTGCAGTTTAAGGTGGAGCTGACCTTGACGGGACCTGATGGTGAGTCTGTTTCCTGCCTTTAGATGGCTGTGAATCAGGAAGACCTTTTCCTTCTCAGCTTTCCCTCTCTTCCCGCTGTAGGTGCCTCTCCAGATTCCATTATCGGCGTTTCATCGCTCAACGGAGCTCCAGGGACTCCTTCTGACGATGAAGACCTGCCCCATCCTCTCCCAGGTCCATCCTGCTACCAGGGATCTCCACACATGTGGGAAGGCGGAGCCGCTGCCTTTCCGGACAAAGACCTGCCTGTCGTCCGGTCGGCCAGATTTCTAGATCCGGTGGTCATTTCAGAGCAGCCGATTCTCCAGAGGTCCCTCAGTGAGGGGCTGGATGCCATCGAGGCCCCCAAAGGGCCTGGAGAGAGGCCTCTGGGTTCCGCCTCCCCTAAACTCTGCTCCAGCTTCCCCACGCACACCAGACTCAGTGACATATTGCACATTGACTCGGACGAGGACGAGGAAAGATCTGGGATGAACGACTTTCCTCCGATGCCTGTATCGCCGCTGCTGATGAACGGAGAACCTCCTGATGTCAGCGGTCCAGATGAGGCCGACCCGTTCTCCGAGCTCAGGCAGGAACATCTGGAGGAGGAGGAGTCTGCCCTCGATGTAATGGAGGAAGCGCTTCCAGAGCCTCGAGTTTCCATGGGTGCAGATCTGGAGTTAGACGACGTTCTGGAGGCGGAGGTTTTCCTTGAGGAGGAGGAGGCTCATGTCGCTCCGGATGTTACCCATCAACCTTTGCAAGGCAGCAGAGAGACTCCTGAACAGGAAGCTGTGCGAGTTGAAGATCTCACATCCGAGATGGACTCCTGCTCCATGGCAACAGCCCCTCAGACGGTTTTCTCCTCCTCAGAGAGCGGCGCAATCACCATGGCCACGGCTATGGTGAGTTCATTAACAGGATCTATAAACAGGATGGGGGTGAAACGGGGGGGCAAAAATCAGGGTTTCATTATTATGATGAGGTCAGCCTGCAGGATCTAACATGAACCTAGCCTGGTGAGACCATCCTGATCTCGCCAGCTTTCAAGGTTTCACTCGCAGATCAGTCTGGAGACTCTCCGTTAAAGAACATTTGGAGCCGTTCACCAAACGAACGTCCAATCAGCGTTGGCTTTGAGGCGGGTTGAGGTGTGACGCAACGAGAAGCGCGACAGTTCAGTCTAAAGAACATGGCGGCTTCAGCCGATGAAACTAGCGTTAGCGTGGCTATCGAGCAAGTTTTATCGGAATTACAGAGTATTTCTTCACTGAAAGAAGAGCAAAACACTGCTCTGGAGGCTTTTCTCAGAGGAAAAGATGTTTTTGCTCTTCTCCCGACTGGTTTCAGCAAGAGTTTGATCTATCAATTGGCTCCTCTTCGTCGTCGCTCTGTTAGTACGTCATATGCTTCGTTGATCTGATTGGTTTATTTGGCCCGTCTATCACCAACATAGGCCAATCAGCTAACCAGTATTTTTGCCCCTTCCCAAAATTACTTCAAGGGAAGGTTTCCAGATGGATATGCGGAGCAATCCATCTGGCGGAGTCAGGTTAACATGAACCCCCCTCCCCATCTGGTTTCTGGGTGGATTGTGGGACAAAAACAACAAAATGAGGTTTGGATCTGATCTAATGGAGAATAAGATGTTTCTGCTCTTTCTGTTGAACAGGAAGCTGAGGAAGGAGCAGCGACAGCCATCGATCCAGGAGGAGACGCCGAGCCGCCGGGCCCCTCACCGACCGCCACAACCCGCGATGATGAGGAGGAGGGGGAGGAGGGTGGCCGAGCTGAAGCCGCAGAGGCTGAGGGAGAACCTGCAGCTGCCGGTGAGCAGCAGGAGGTTCAGGAGGAGGTCAGTGTGAGGAGGCGGAGCCTGCAGGCAGCGAGCAGGGCCAGTAAGGAGCAGGAAGAGGAGGAGACCAAGACGCCTGGGGTGGGGGCTGTGGATACGGAGCATGTTACCATGGAAACAGAAGGGGATGAAGGTATGCTGCTTCAGGCTACTCTGACACTGAAGAAACGTTTCCTCTGAACTCTGTGGTGCTTCCTTCCAGGAGGCGGCGTTAACGGCCATCCGGTGCGTTCGCTCCCCTCCGTGCGCCAGGACCTCCATCGATACCAACGGGTGGACGAGCCGCTGCCCCCCAGTGAGTATCCAGTGGGTGGGGTGGGTCAGGGACAACAGACTCACCAGAGATCGTGGTTCTATTGAGGAACATCCTGGAGGACGTGACAGGACAGAGATGTTACCATGACAACCACCCCCCAAAACACCAGACGTCCTTTTTAGGCTAAATCTGGGCGCTCCGTCATAATCTGGAGTGGACTGGTTTAGCTGGGTCTGATTTTGTCCCACTTTATTCCAATAAATCTCATTCCAAACCCAGATTTCAACGTCTCACACATGTAGACGTCGTTTGGATGGAAATCATGTCGTTATTTCAACCAATGTTTGCTGGGTGGGATCAGTCAGGCCCACAGCATGCTGGGAAAAAAGCCTTTTCCTGTCCTACCATCATAAACGTCGACCCTGCTGGGACTTAAACTGGTTTGTCAGTGGGTCGGTTGATCGGTGGGTTTGTGGGTCGTTTGGTCCGTGGGTCGGTGAGTCAGTTAGGTCGGTTGGTACATGAGACGGTGGGTCGATGAGTCGGTTGGGTCTGTGGGGTCTGTGAGTCGGTTGCTCGGGGGGTTGGTTGGTAGGCGGGTCGGTCGGTCGGTCAGACAGTAGATGGGTTGGTTGGTACATGGGTCGGCGGGTTGGTCGGTCCGTGAGTCGGTTGGTCGTTGGGTCGGTTGGTTGATGGGTCGGTTGGTACGTGGGTCGTTGGGTCGGTTGGTTGATGGGTTGGTTGGTACGTTGGTTGGTTGGTACATGGGTTAGTGGGTCGGTTGGTCAGTTGGTCGATGGGTTGGTTGGTACGTCGGTCGTTGGGTCGGTTGGTCAGTTGGTCCGTGAGTCGGTTGGTTAATGGGTTGGTTGGTATGTGGGTCGGTTCGTTGATGGGTTGGTTGGTACGTTGGTTGGTTGGTCGGTGGGTTGGTCGGTCGGTTGGTCAGTTGGTCGATGGGTTGGTTGGTTGGTACGTCGGTTGGTCGATGGGTTGGTTGGTACGTCGGTCGTTGGGTCGGTTGGTCAGTTGGTCCGTGAGTCGGTTGGTTAATGGGTTGGTTGGTATGTGGGTCGGTTCGTTGATGGGTTGGTTGGTACGTTGGTTGGTTGGTCGGCGGGTTGGTCGGTCGGTTGGTCAGTTGGTCGATGGGTTGGTTGGTTGGTACGTCGGTTGGTCGATGGGTTGGTTGGTACGTTGGTCGTTGGGTCGGTTGGTCAGTTGGTCCGTGAGTCGGTTGGTTAATGGGTTGGTTGGTATGTGGGTCGGTTCGTTGATGGGTTGGTTGGTACGTTGGTCGTTGGGTCGGTTGGTCAGTTGGTCCGTGAGTCGGTTCGTTGATGGGTTGGTTGGTACGTTGGTTGGTTGGTCGGCGGGTTGGTCGGTCGGTAGGTCGGTCGGTCGATGGGTTGGTTGGTACGTCGGTCGTTGGGTCGGTTGGTCAGTTGGTCCGTGAGTCGGTTGGTTAATGGGTTGGTTGGTATGTGGGTCGGTTCGTTGATGGGTTGGTTGGTACGTTGGTTGGTTGGTCGGCGGGTTGGTCGGTCGGTAGGTCGGTTGGTCGATGGGTTGGTTGGTATGTGGGTCGGTTCGTTGATGGGTTGGTTGGTACGTTGGTTGGTTGGTACGTCGGTCGTTGGGTCGGTTGGTCAGTTGGTTGATGGGTTGGTTGGTCGGTTGGCCCGTGAGTCGGTTTGTTTATGGGTTGGTTGGTACGTGGGTCGGTTGATACGTGGGTTGGTCGGTCGGTGAGTCGGTTAGGTCCGTGGGTCGGTTGGTTGGCGGTTTGGTCGGTCGGTTGGTCAGTTGGTCGATGGGTTGGTTGGTACGTGGGTCGTTGGGTCGGCTGGTTGATGGGTCGGTTGGTTGATGGGTCGGTTGGTACGTGGGTCGTTGGGTCGGTTGGTTGACTGGTCGGTTGGTACGTGGGTTGGTCGGTCATTGGGTCGGTTGGTTGGCGGGTTGGTCGGTCAGTTGGTCGATGGGTTGGTCGGTGGGTCGGTGATGTAGGAGGAGCAGCAGATGATCAGATGATCTGAGACGCTGCCCTCCCTCCATCCTCTCATTCTGCTTAAACATTTTCTCTCATGGCTCCTTTGTCTCAGACTGGGAGGCTCGGATCGACAGCCATGGGAGGATCTTCTTTGTGGACCATGTGAACAGGACCACCACGTGGCAGCGTCCCACCGGCCCCCCCGCCCCACAGGGCCTGACCCGCTCCAACTCCATCCAGCAGATGGAGCAGCTGAACCGCAGGTGATGAATGACAGGATTGAAGGTTCTGCTATAGATGATTATTCTGAGCTAAACGCGTCCTCGCGCTGTTCCTCTCAGATATCAGAGCATCAGGAGAACCATCACCAACAGCGACCGAGCAGAGGAGAGCTCCTCTGACCTCCTCCCTGAGGCGGAGGGGGAGCTGATGCCTCACTCCGTTCCTGGTCAGTTCAGCTCTGCAGGGTCTCGGCTTGACATGAAGGTTCTGCTGTGTTTGTCCCAAACTGCCACCGCTCTCCTCCATCTGTTGCAGAGTACCGCCGAGAGAGCGCCGTGGCCCCCCCCAGCGGCCGCTCGCGCCTCTCCCTGCTGCTGCAGTCGCCCAGCGCCAAGTTCCTGTGCAGCCCTGACTTCTTCACCGTGCTGCATTCAAACCCCGTCAGTAACGCCATCATCCCCCATCTGATCCACTTATCTCCCAGCCGCCATGGAAGCAGCATCATTTTTCTCAGCGTTGGGCTGGAAGCACTCATAGCTGCGTTCTGTTAAAACCTCTTAAAATCTCTGATTGGACGATCTGTAGTTAAGCTAACGGCTGCTTACGTTTCTGCCTCCTGCAGTAGCTGGGATGAAAGATGTTTGAACCATGTCTTTATAAAAACAGCTTTAATAACTTTATGTGGATTAATGTTTTAACAACTCATCTGTTTGTCTTGATGCATCATTGATCTGATCACTCTCAGCCATTTTCCTGCTAAGCTCAAACATTTAGGATAACTATAAAAAAATTCCAGGTGTATTTTCAGGTCTATCATCCAGATCTGCAGATGTTTGCTAGTTTTACATCATTTCATTCTTTCGTTTCTCTTTAATTCTCCAAACTAAGATCTAAGGTGATCTTCTGACCGCCGTCTTTGAAATGTTCGCCGTCTCTGAGTCAATTAGTCGATGCAATCAGCTGGTTTTCCTTAGATAGAAAACTTTAATCAATCTGACTGGATGATCTGGTTGATCTGGATCTATAAAGATGAGGTGTTGTGAATTAGCTCTATAGAAATAAAGTAATAGAAGTGAGTTATGCTGACCCGATGTTCTGTCTCTGTCCTTCTGGTCCAGAGTGCCTACCGCATGTTTACGAGCAACACCTGCCTGAAGCACATGATCAGTAAGGTGCGGCGAGATGCTCATTACTTTGAGCGCTACCAGCACAACCGTGACCTCGTCACCTTCCTCAACATGTTCTCCAACAAGCAGCTGGAGCTCCCCAGAGGCTGGGAGATGAAGCACGACCACACCGGGAAGGTGGGTCTCTGCCGCATCACAACCTCCCATCTGGGTCACTTAGCTCTACGTCTCTGATTTAGCTGGACTAACATTTTTTTCTGGGACTGATTGTCAGCCTTTCTTTGTGGATCATAACTGTCGATCGACGACCTTCATCGACCCCCGCCTGCCCCTCCAGAGCTCCCGATCCACCGGGCTTCTGGCCCACCGCCAACACCTGAGCCGCCAGCGAAGCCACAGCGCAGGAGAGGTGAGACAGAGCAGACGGGTAACCAAGGCGACACTTCTGTAGACCGTCCACATCAGACTCACTGTGCATCAGTAGATGTCCCATAAGTTCTGTTATAGAAGCGCTAGTCCATAACGATGGCTGGATCATCTGGCAGCGATTTATCGACCATCCAGAAGATCTGGAGGTTTAATCATAATAGACCTACACCAAATAGACCTACACCATATAAACATTCACTTTATAGACCTTAACCATATAGACCTTTATTATATAGAACTTCACCATATAGACCTACACCATGTAGACCTTCAACATATAGACAAAACCAGATAGACCTTCACTATGTAGACCTACAAAATATAGACCTATACCATATAGACTATAAAATAACCAAATTAATTTTTTATATTACCGTAAAATCTGAATATACGGTACAGACCAAAATGTCCCAAATATATCATATATTTTTGCAAAGTAAAATAAAAAAGGTACAGAATCTGTGTATTCGTCGGCCATGACAGGTGGTTACCATGTCAACCAGTGAATTATTTGCGGCGTCTGCTGTGAAGCGGGCCCTGTACCGGTCTTATTGTGGCCCTCGGTTTATTGTGGCCCTCGGCTTACTGTGGCCCCCGGTTTATTGTGGCCCCCGGTTTATTGTGGCCCTCGGTTTATTGTGGCCCTCGGCTTATTGTGGCCCCCGGTTTATTGTGGCCCTCGGTTTATTGTGGCCCTCGGCTTATTGTGGCCCCCGGTTTATTGTGGCCCTCGGTTTATTGTGGCCCTCGGCTTATTGTGGCCCCCGGTTTATTGTGGCCCTCGGTTTATTGTGGCCCTCGGCTTATTGTGGCCCTCGGTTTATTGTGGCCCTCGGTTTATTGTGGCCCTCGGTTTATTGTGGCCCTCGGTTTATTGTGGCCCTTGGCTTATTGTGGCCCTCGGTTATTGTGGCCCTTGGCTTATTGTGGCCCTCGGTTATTGTGGCCTTCGGTTTATTGTGGCCCTCGGCTTATTGTGGCCCTCGGTTTATTGTGGCCCTCGGTTTATTGTGGCCCTCGGTTTATTGTGGCCTTCGGTTTATTGTGGCCCTCGGTTTATTGTGGCCCCCGGTTTATTGTGGCCCTCGGTTTATTGTGGCCCTCGGTTTATTGTGGCCTTCGGTTTATTGTGGCCCTCGGTTTATTGTGGCCCTCGGTTTATTGTGGCCCTCGGTTTATTGTGGCCCTCGGTTATTGTGGCCCTCGGTTTATTGTGGCCCTAGGTTATTGTGGCCCTCGGTTTATTGTGGCCCTCGGTTATTGTGGCCCTTGGCTTATTGTGGCCCTCGGTTATTGTTGCCCTCGGTTTATTGTGGCCCTCGGTTATTGTGGCCCTCGGTTATTGTGGCCCTCGGCTTATTGTGGCCCTCGGTTATTGTGGCCCTCGGTTTATTGTGGCCCTCGGCTTATTGTGGCCCCCGGTTTATTGTTGCCCTCGGTTTATTGTGGCCCTCGGCTTATTGTGGCCCTCGGTTTATTGTGGCCCTCGGTTTATTGTGGCCTTCGGTTTATTGTGGCCCTCGGTTTATTGTGGCCCTCGGTTTATTGTGGCCCTCGGTTATTGTGGCCCTCGGTTATTGTGGCCCTTGGCTTATTGTGGCCCTCGGTTATTGTGGCCCTCGGTTATTGTTGCCCTCGGTTTATTGTGGCCCTCGGTTATTGTGGCCCTCGGTTATTGTGGCCCTCGGTTTATTGTGGCCCTCGGTTTATTGTGGCCCCTGGTTTATTGTGGCCCTCGGTTATTGTGACCCTCGGTTATTGTGGCCCTCGGTTTATTGTGGCCCCCAGTTATTGTGGCCCTCGGTTATTGTGGCCCTCGGCTTATTGTGGCCCTCGGTTATTGTGGCCCTCGGTTATTGTGGCCCTCGGTTATTGTGGCCCTCGGCTTATTGTGGCCCCCGGTTTATTGTGGCCCTCGGTTTATTGTGGCCCTCGGCTTATTGTGGCCCCCGGTTTATTGTGGCCCTCGGTTTATTGTGGCCCTCGGCTTATTGTGGCCCCCGGTTTATTGTGGCCCTCGGTTTATTGTGGCCCTCGGCTTATTGTGGCCCTCGGTTTATTGTGGCCCTCGGTTTATTGTGGCCCTCGGTTTATTGTGGCCCTCGGTTTATTGTGGCCCTCGGTTTATTGTGGCCCTTGGCTTATTGTGGCCCTCGGTTATTGTGGCCCTTGGCTTATTGTGGCCCTCGGTTATTGTGGCCTTCGGTTTATTGTGGCCCTCGGTTTATTGTGGCCCTCGGTTTATTGTGGCCCTCGGTTTATTGTGGCCCTCGGTTTATTGTGGCCTTCGGTTTATTGTGGCCCTCGGTTTATTGTGGCCCCCGGTTTATTGTGGCCCTCGGTTTATTGTGGCCCTCGGTTTATTGTGGCCCTCGGTTTATTGTGGCCCTCGGTTTATTGTGGCCCTCGGTTATTGTGGCCCTTGGCTTATTGTGGCCCTCGGTTATTGTGGCCCTCGGTTATGGTTGCCCTCGGTTTATTGTGGCCCTCGGTTATTGTGGCCCTCGGTTTATTGTGGCCCTCGGTTATTGTGGCCCTTGGCTTATTGTGGCCCTCGGTTTATTGTGGCCCTCGGTTATTGTGGCCCTCGGTTATTGTGGCCCTCGGCTTATTGTGGCCCTCGGTTATTGTGGCCCTCGGTTTATTGTGGCCCTCGGCTTATTGTGGCCCCCGGTTTATTGTTGCCCTCGGTTTATTGTGGCCCTCGGCTTATTGTGGCCCTCGGTTTATTGTGGCCCTCGGTTTATTGTGGCCTTCGGTTTATTGTGGCCCTCGGTTTATTGTGGCCCTCGGTTTATTGTGGCCCTCGGTTTATTGTGGCCCTCGGTTTATTGTGGCCCTCGGTTATTGTGGCCCTCGGTTATTGTGGCCCTTGGCTTATTGTGGCCCTCGGTTATTGTGGCCCTCGGTTATTGTTGCCCTCGGTTTATTGTGGCCCTCGGTTATTGTGGCCCTCGGTTATTGTGGCCCTCGGTTTATTGTGGCCCTCGGTTTATTGTGGCCCCTGGTTTATTGTGGCCCTCGGTTATTGTGACCCTCGGTTATTGTGGCCCTCGGTTTATTGTGGCCCCCGGTTATTGTGGCCCTCGGTTATTGTGGCCCTCGGCTTATTGTGGCCCTCGGTTATTGTGGCCCTCGGTTATTGTGGCCCTCGGTTATTGTGGCCCCCGGTTATTGTGGCCCTCGGCTTATTGTGGCCCTCGGTTATTGTGGCCCTCGGTTATTGTGGCCCTCGGTTATTGTGGCCCTCGGTTATTGTGACCCTCGGTTATTGTGGCCCTCGGCTTATTGTTGCCCTCGGTTTATTGTGGCCCTCGGTTATTGTGACCCTCGGTTATTGTGGCCCTCGGTTTATTGTGGCCCTCGGTTATTGTGGCCCTCGGTTATTGTTGCCCTCAGTTTATTGTGGCCCTCGGTTATTGTGGCCCTCGGTTATTGTGACCCTCGGTTATTGTGGCCCTCGGTTTATTGTGGCCCTCGGTTATTGTGGCCCCCGGTTATTGTGGCCCTCGGTTATTGTGGCCCTCGGCTTATTGTGGCCCCCGGTTATTGTGGCCCTCGGTTATTGTTGCCCTCGGTTTATTGTGGCCCTTGGTTATTGTGGCCCTCGATTTATTGTGGCCCTCGGTTTATTGTGGCCCTCGGTTTATTGTGGCCCTCGGTTATTGTGGCCCTCGGTTTTTTTGTGGCCCTCGGTTATTGTTGCCCTCGGTTTATTGTGGCCTTTGGTTATTGTGGCCCTCGGTTTATTGTGGCCCTCGGTTTATTGTGGCCCTCGGTTTATTGTGGCCCTCGGTTTATTGTGGCCCTCGGTTATTGTGGCCCTCGGTTTTTTTGTGGCCCTCGGTTATTGTTGCCCTCGGTTTATTGTGGCCTTTGGTTATTGTGGCCCTCGGTTTATTGTGGCCCTCGGTTTATTGTGGCCCTCGGTTTATTGTGGCCCTCGGTTTATTGTGGCCCTCGGTTTATTGTGGCCCTCGGTTATTGTGGCCCTCGGTTTATTGTGGCCCTCGGTTATTGTGGCCCTCGGTTATTGTGGCCCCCGGCAGGGATTCCCTCACACTCATTGTTGCCATAAAGTGACCCGTGGGGGACAGACTGGTCCCAGAACTGGGATGCGACCTGAACTGTAGTGCGTTCTCTTGTCGCAGGTGGTGGATGACTCCCGGCAGACGGGTCTGCCCGCCATGCCCCGCCCCTCCAGCACCTTCAGTGGTTCCAGTCGGAGCCCCTACCACGATGTGGTGCCTGTGGGTAAGTCCGCCGGGACGACGAGGGCCTGGAAACACACATGAACGCTCCTCTCACTCTCCTCTGTTTCCTTCAGCCTATAATGACAAGATAGTGGCGTTTCTACGGCAACCCAACATCTATGAGATCCTGCAGGAGCGGCAGCCGGAGCTGTCCAGGAATCCGTCCCTAAAGTAAGGCGCTGTCCTCGTCCATCATGGCCGCCCCGGACGCTTCTGAGCTTCTGTCCTGATGGTTTTCTGCCGCTTGCAGGGAGAAGGTGCAGTTCATCCGCAGTGAGGGGGTCAACGGGCTGGCTTGTCTCTCCAGTGACGCCGACCTGGTCATGCTGCTCAGGTGAGCGCGTCTTTCTCAAGAACTTCCTGGGACGTTTGAACTTTGGCCGTTTGCAGCTCATTCTGGAAACGCACATTAAAGCTGTCCTGTCAGAATCCGGTTTGGATCCGGTCCGGTCCAGTCTAGTCAAGTCCGGTCAGGATCAAGTCCAATTCACGTCCAGCTGCAGGTCGTCCTGCAACAGGAAAATGAATAAACACAACATTCATACTTCCCAGATAAATATACGATAGATTTCCCTAATAAAGAGCTTCTATCATCAAACGCTGGAGGATCTGAGGAACATCTTATCTATCGTCTGTTTTATCTGCCTTTCTGGGAATAAATGGACTTTTATCAATAATTGTTCTGAAGTTATAATGTTATAAATTAACTGATGTTAATTTATTCATCAGTTACCATTTGCATGTTTCCAAGCGATGCAAAGCTTTGTCTCTATAAGACTCAAACTCACTGCAGATCCAGACATTTGAATTGAGAAAGCTTCCTGGAGGGGAAGCGAAACGTCTTCAAATCTTGGAAACCGAGTCCAGTGGATAATTTTTTTTAAATTTTTTACGGAATGACTGATGTTAAAATTTATGTACATATATTATATTGATGTATTTAGTTGTTTTTATCTTTAATTAAGCTGAATGCTCCTAAATGAGTTGCAGGGCCAAGGCCACCCCTCTTCTCCCATCTAGCTCCGCCCCCAGACTCCAGTTGAGTTCTGGTTGGTTCTGCTGAACTTGACACGAACAGAACTTCAGGGCAGCATCTCAGCCTGTCAGAGGAAGGATGAAAACATAATGTCTAACACGCTGTTTCCTGTCTGCAGCCTGTTTGAGGAGGAAGTGATGTCATACGTGCCGTCGCTGCTCCACCCGGGTTACAGCCTGTCCTCTCCTCAGAGCTCTCCTGGTAAATCCGTCTCATTTCATCACATCGCCGCCTTTCAATCATCCAACGCTGCAGTTTGTTGATAAAATGATAAAGAGTCGAATGGTGGAGTGGATCAGAGGTGAACCAGAGAGGTTCTCCTCAGCCGGGGCCGTTAGTTAACGAGCCTTAAGTTAACGAGCCTTTAGTTAACAAGCCTTTAGTTAACGAGCCTTTAGTTAACGAGCCTTTAGTTAACGAGACTTTAGTTACCGAGCCTTTAGTTACCGAGCCTTTAGTTAACCAGCCTTAAGTTAACGAGCCTTTAGTTAACGAGCCTTTAGTTAACGAGCCTTTAGTTAACGAGCCTTTAGTTAACGAGACTTTAGTTACCGAGCCTTTAGTTACCGAGCCTTAAGTTAACGAGCCTTTAGTTAACAAGCCTTTAGTTAACGAGCCTTTAGTTAACGAGCCTTTAGTTAACGAGCCTTTAGTTAACGAGCCTTTAGTTAACGAGACTTTAGTTACCGAGCCTTTAGTTACCGAGCCTTTAGTTAACCAGCCTTAAGTTAACGAGCCTTTAGTTAACGAGCCTTTAGTTAACGAGCCTTTAGTTAACGAGCCTTTAGTTAACGAGCCTTTAGTTACCGAGCCTTTAGTTACCGAGCCTTTAGTTAACGAGCCTTTAGTTAACGAGCCTTTAGTTAACGAGACTTTAGTTACCGAGCCTTTAGTTACCGAGCCTTTAGTTAACCAGCCTTAAGTTAACGAGCCTTTAGTTAACGAGCCTTTAGTTAACGAGCCTTTAGTTAACGAGCCTTTAGTTAACGAGACTTTAGTTACCGAGCCTTTAGTTACCGAGCCTTTAGTTAACGAGCCTTTAGTTAACGAGCCTTTAGTTAACGAGCCTTTAGTTAACGAGACTTTAGTTACCGAGCCTTTAGTTAACGAGCCTTTAGTTAACGAGACTTTAGTTACCGAGCCTTTAGTTAACCAGCCTTAAGTTAACGAGCCTTTAGTTAACGAGCCTTTAGTTAACGAGCCTTTAGTTAACGAGACTTTAGTTAACGAGCCTTTAGTTAACGAGACTTTAGTTACCGAGCCTTTAGTTACCGAGCCTTTAGTTAACCAGCCTTAAGTTAACGAGCCTTTAGTTAACGAGCCTTTAGTTAACGAGACTTTAGTTACCGAGCCTTTAGTTAACGAGCCTTTAGTTAACGAGACTTTAGTTACCGAGCCTTTAGTTAACCAGCCTTTAGTTAACGAGCCTTTAGTTAACGAGCCTTTAGTTAACGAGCCGTTAGTTAACGAGCCTTTAGTTAACGAGCCGTTAGTTAACGAGACTTTAGTTAACGAGACTTTAGTTAACGAGCCTTTAGTTAACGAGACTTTAGTTAACAAGCCTTTAGTTAACGAGCCTTTAGTTAACGAGCCTTTAGTTAACGAGCCTTTAGTTAACGAGACTTTAGTTAACAAGCCTTTAGTTAACGAGCCTTTAGTTAACGAGCCTTAAGTTAACGAGCCTTTAGTTAACGAGCCTTTAGTTAACGAGCCTTTAGTTACCGAGCCTTTAGTTAACGAGCCTTTAGTTAACGAGACTTTAGTTAACGAGCCTTTAGTTAACGAGCCGTTAGTTAACGAGCCGTTAGTTAACGAGCCTTTAGTTAACGAGCCTTTAGTTAACGAGACTTTAGTTACCGAGCCTTTAGTTAACGAGCCTTTAGTTAACGAGACTTTAGTTACCGAGCCTTTAGTTAACGAGCCTTTAGTTAACGACACTTTAGTTACCGAGCCTTTAGTTAACGAGCCTTTAGTTAACGAGCCTTTAGTTAACGAGCCGTTAGTTAACGAGCCTTTAGTTAACGAGCCGTTAGTTACCGAGCCTTTAGTTAACGAGCCTTTAGTTAACAAACCTTTAGTTAACGAGCCTTTAGTTAACGAGCCGTTAGTTAACGAGCCGTTAGTTAACGAGCCGTTAGTTAACAAGCCTTTAGTTAACGAGCCTTTAGTTAACGAGCCTTTAGTTAACGAGCCTTTAGTTACCGACCCTTTTAGTTAACGAGCCTTCAGTCAACGAGCCTTTAGTTAACGAGCCGCTAGTTAACGAGCCTTTAGTTAACGAACCTTTAGTTAACTAGTCTTTAGTTAACAAGCCTTTAGTTAACGAGCCTTCAGTCAACGAGCCTTTAGTTAACAAACCTTTAGTTAACGAGCCTTTAGTTAACGAGCCGTTAGTTAACGAGCCGTTAGTTAACGGGCCGTTAGTTAACAAGCCGTTAGTTAACAAGCCTTTAGTTAACGAGCCTTTAGTTAACGAGCCTTTAGTTAACGAGCCTTTAGTTACCGACCCTTTTAGTTAACGAGCCTTCAGTCAACGAGCCTTTAGTTAACGAGCCGCTAGTTAACGAGCCTTTAGTTAACGAACCTTTAGTTAACGAGCCGTTAGTTAACGAGCCTTTAGTTAACAATCCTTTAGTTAACGAGCCTTTAGTTAACGAGCCGTTAGTTAACGAGCCTTTAGTTAACAATCCTTTAGTTAACGAGCCGTTAGTTAACGAGCCTTTAGTTAACAATCCTTTAGTTAACGAGCCTTTAGTTAACTAGTCTTTAGTTAAGGAGCCTTTAGTTAACTAGTCTTTAGTTAACAATCCTTTAGTTAACGAGCCTTCAGTCAACGAGCCGTTAGTTAACGAGCCTTTAGTTAACGAGCCGTTAGTTAACGAGCCTTTAGTTAACGAGCCTTTAGTTAACGAGCCTTTAGTTAACGAGCCGCTAGTTAACGAGCCTTTAGTTAACGAGCCTTTAGTTACCGAGCCTTTAGTTACCGACCCTTTTAGTTAACGAGCCTTCAGTCAACGAGCCTTTAGTTAACGAGCCGCTAGTTAACGAGCCTTTAGTTAACGAACCTTTAGTTACCGACCCTTTTAGTTAACGAGCCTTCAGTCAACGAGCCGTTAGTTAACAAGCCTTTAGTTAACGAGCCGTTAGTTAACGAGCCTTTAGTTAACTATCCTTTAGTTAACGAGCCGTTAGTTAACGAGCCTTTAGTTAACAATCCTTTAGTTAACGAGCCTTTAGTTAACTAGTCTTTAGTTAACGAGCCTTTAGTTAACTAGTCTTTAGTTAACAATCCTTTAGTTACCGACCCTTTTAGTTAACGAGCCGCTAGTTAACGAGCCTTTAGTTAACTAGTCTTTAGTTAACGAGCCTTTAGTTAACAATCCTTTAGTTAACGAGCCTTTAGTTAACTAGTCTTTAGTTAACGAGCCTTTAGTTAACAAACCTTTAGTCAACGAGCCTTTCGTTAACAATCCTTTAGTTAACGAGCCTTTAGTTAACTAGTCTTTAGTTAACGAGCCTTTAGTTAACAATCCTTCAGTTAACGAGCCTTTAGTTAACTAGTCTTTAGTTAACAAGCCTTTAGTTAACAATCCTTTAGTTAACGAGCCTTTAGTTAACTAGTCTTTAGTTAACGAGCCTTTAGTTAACAATCCTTTAGTTAACGAGCCTTTAGTTAACTAGTCTTTAGTTAACGAGCCTTTAGTTAACCAGCATTTAGTCAAAGAGTCTTTAGTTAACAATCCTTTAGTTAACAAGCCTTTAGTTAACTAGTCTTTAGTTAACGAGCCTTTAGTTAACAATCCTTTAGTTAACGAGCCTTTAGTTAACAATCCTTTAGTTAACAATCCTTTAGTTAACTAGTCTTTAGTTAACGAGCCTTTAGTTAACTAGTCTTTAGTTAACGAGCCTTTAGTTAACGAGCCTTTAGTTAACTAGTCTTTAGTTAACAAGCCTTTAGTTAACTAGTCTTTAGTTAACGAGCCTTTAGTTAACTAGTCTTTAGTTAACGAGCCTTTAGTTAACAATCCTTTAGTTAACGAGCCTTTAGTTAACAATCCTTTAGTTAACAATCCTTTAGTTAACTAGTCTTTAGTTAACGAGCCTTTAGTTAACTAGTCTTTAGTTAACGAGCCTTTAGTTAACTAGTCTTTAGTTAACAAGCCTTTAGTTAACCAGCATTTAGTCAAAGAGTCTTTAGTTAACAATCCTTTAGTTAACAAGCCTTTAGTTAACTAGTCTTTAGTTAACGAGCCTTTAGTTAACAATCCTTTAGTTAACGAGCCTTTAGTTAACAATCCTTTAGTTAACGAGTGCAGACCATCTGCTAGCTGCTCCAGGAACCAGTTAACAGTTTCAGGGTTGGGGAACTCTGCAGGGATTCATCGTTAGGCAATACTAGGCAGCTGCTTAGGGCCCCAAGTTCCTGGGGGCCCCATAAAACTCTGTTCCCATCTATGGTTAATACAACTATTCATTATTTGTGTACATTAATTATGTTTTTGATAAAATCCTTTTGCTAAAATGCCATCAGAACGCTGATAATATTAAGTGTGTCTCAGCACCCCCCCCATCAGAGTCCACCATATTGGATCAGTCGCCTTTTTGTGGCCTTTTTGGAAACACAGGAAGGAGCAATCAGCTAAGTGAGCTTAGTGCTTGGAAAAAATCTTTCATTCCTTTAGAGACAGCATGAAAAGTCAGCTGAGTACAAAACATAGAGAGGAAAACAAGAAGAAAAGGGACAAGAAGAGAGGGACACAACCTAGAACAGATAATGGATGTCTATTCTATTAACATTTCTACATCTAGAGAATGGGGCTGTTTTATGTCTTCTCCATTCAGAGGGGCCCCTGCTTGTCTTTGCCTAGGGCCCCACATTTTCTAACTCTGGCCCTGGCTGACTTGGCAGCAAAATGTATGATTCTGAACAGAAACAGAAACGGATCCAAACAATATTGCAAATAATCTAAAATGGGCAACAGACTCTTTCCAGTGGGTGGAGATGGTCTGATCTATGTTTGCAGATCTTGCACTGAACTGAGAGAATCTGATGAGGGTCAGAAACATCAAGTCAATCCAGGATTAACCTGCATCCAGCACTAAACAGCCACCCAGGCATCAAATCTGAGTAGGCCTTAATCTGCTGATAATCTTTGTCCTACCTGCTTCCCTCCATCCTCCCGTTTTTCTGTTTCCAGGCACGCCTCGGGCAAACGCTCGAGCTCCCGCTCCTTACAAGAGAGACTTTGAAGCTAAACTGAGGAATTTCTACAGAAAGCTGGAGACCAAGGGTTACGGGCAGGGACCAGGAAAAGTCAAGTACGTCTGGAAATAAACGCTTCCATCTTATTTCATCTTTCCTCATTTTTTTCCTTATTTTATTCTCTCAGCAGCGGCCATCTGCTCAGAGAATCATCCCCATAAACTAACCCAGGAGAACATGATGAGAAGGAGCTATAGAAATAAATTGAATTGATTTTTATACATTTTTTTGATAACATTTTTAAGATGGCTTTAAAATAATAAAGGTAAAAAAAAGTGAAATTAACTTTAGAAATACCACAGTACCAATTTAATTGATATTTGTTTTGGCACTAAAGCTACTGTGCTAACTGTTCATTTGATTGGCAGGTCTAGAAAAGCACTAAGTAGAAATCCCACCACCAAGTCCAGTTTTACTTCTAGTTTGTTTGATTTCATGTCTTCAGGCTCATCATCCGCAGAGACCACCTGCTGGAGGACGCCTTCAATCAAATCATGTGCTACTCCCGCAAAGATCTGCAGAGGAGCAAACTCTACGTTAGCTTTGTGGGCGAGGACGGGTGAGAAAGACTCCATCGGTTATAGTCTCAGGATTAGGCTCGGTTTTATTTACGGTTCAATAGCATAGAGGCCCGAGCAGAGAGCCCTGGGGAACACCACCTCATGAACTAAAATAAACTCTTTAAATGTTGCTGGTTTATTTTCTAAGCATACGGGTTGTTTTTAATGACTAATGATATTTAAATGGTTGCGTAACATCGTGGATCCTCCCCGTCTTACGATGAATGTTCTATGATCGTCCTACAGGCTGGACTACAGCGGACCGTCCAGAGAGTTTTTCTTCCTGGTGTCCAGAGAACTTTTTAATCCGTACTACGGCTTATTCGAGTACTCGGCCAACGACACGTATACGGTGCAGATCAGCCCCATGTCCGCCTTCGTGGACAACCACCACGAATGGTGAGTTCCTCTTATCGGTTCTGTGCCGATCATAACGCCGAGCACGGCGCTGCATATGGTCCAGAATCCATCAGGAACAGGGACTGGATGGATGGAAAAGGTTTGGATCCTCAGACCAACAAAACATTTCAGACTCTTTGAGAGGAAATGTCTGATATTAGCCGTTAGTTTTCAACGTTCCGGAGTCAGAATCAGCATTAATTAAAATCATCCTGTGTTTTGGATCCAGGTTCCGGTTCAGCGGGCGGATTCTGGGGCTGGCGCTGGTCCATCAGTACCTGCTGGACGCATTCTTCACTCGTCCATTTTACAAGGGTCTGCTCCGTATGTAAGTGTTTCCTTCATCCAGCAGCGTTTCTCTTCCCTAATGAAGAAAAATAAACTTTATTCCAACCCTGCTGGAGGAAAACACCTCATTTTCCTCAGATTGATCATTTTTATGGGTAAAATGTTTATATTTCCTGTGCGAATGTTCGTAATGTCCAAAAGGTTCTTCTTTAGCGTCAGCCGGTCTTTTAGGAACTGAAAGGTTCTGTTTCTGGTTCTGGTCCTGCAGTCCATGTGACCTTAGTGACCTGGAGTTCCTTGATGAGGAGTTCCACCAGAGCCTGCAGTGGATGAAGGACAACGACATCGAGGACATGCTGGACCTCACCTTCACCGTCAACGAGGAGGTGTTTGGGCAGGTGGGTGTCCGCCTTCTAAAAAAGGAAAGTGCCGTCCCTCAGAAGGTTCCATCCAGCATCGGTTGTCCTGCAGATCACAGAGAGGGAGCTGAAGCCGGGCGGGGCCGGCATCCCCGTGTCTGAGAAGAACAAGAAGGAGTACATCGAGCGAATGGTGAAGTGGCGTATCGAGCGAGGAGTCGCCCAGCAGACGGAGAGCCTGGTCCGAGGATTTTATGAGGTACGTCAGCGTCCCTGGGTTCTGGTTTCCCTGGCCTCTATCGTCGCTCTGCTTCATGCTGCGTACTGCTTATATCTGAGCGACGGAAACATACCGGGCAGAACCTTCCATTCACCTTCTAGAATCACTAGAACTCTCCGTTCACCTTCTAGAATCACTAGAACTCTCTGTTCACCTTCTAGAATCACTAGAACTCTCCGTTCACCTTCTAGGATTACTAGAACTCTCCGTTCACCTTCTAGAATCACTAGAACTCTCTGTTCACCTTCTAGAATCACTAGAACTCTCCGTTCACCTTCTAGAATCACTAGAACTCTCTGTTCACCTTCTAGAATCACTAGAACTCTCCGTTCACCTTCTGGAATCACTAGAACTCCCCGTTTACCTTCTTGAATCACTAGAACTCTCCGTTCACCTTCTAGAATCACTAGAACTCTCCGTTTACCTTCTTGAATCACTAGAACTCTCCGTTCACCTTCTAGAATCACTAGAACTCTCCGTTTACCTTCTTGAATCACTAGAACTCTCCGTTCACCTTCTAGAATCACTAGAACTCCCCGTTTACCTTCTAGAATCTCTAGAACTCTCCGTTTACCTTCTAGAATCACTAGAACTCTCTGTTCACCTTCTAGAATCACTAGAACTCTCCGTTCACCTTCTAGAATCACTAGAACTCCCCGTTTACCTTCTTGAATCACTAGAACTCTCCGTTCACCTTCTAGAATCACTAGAACTCTCCGTTTACCTTCTTGAATCACTAGAACTCTCCGTTCACCTTCTAGGATTACTAGAACTCTCCGTTCACCTTCTAGAATCACTAGAACTCTCTGTTCACCTTCTAGAATCACTAGAACTCTCCGTTCACCTTCTAGAATCACTAGAACTCTCTGTTCACCTTCTGGAATCACTAGAACTCTCCGTTCACCTTCTGGAATCACTAGAACTCCCCGTTTACCTTCTTGAATCACTAGAACTCTCCGTTCACCTTCTAGAATCACTAGAACTCTCCGTTTACCTTCTTGAATCACTAGAACTCTCCGTTCACCTTCTAGAATCACTAGAACTCTCCGTTTACCTTCTTGAATCACTAGAACTCTCCGTTCACCTTCTAGAATCACTAGAACTCTCTGTTCACCTTCTAGAATCACTAGAACTCTCCGTTCACCTTCTAGAATCACTAGAACTCCCCGTTTACCTTCTTGAATCACTAGAACTCTCTGTTCACCTTCTAGAATCACTAGAACTCTCCGTTTACCTTCTTGAATCACTAGAACTCTCCGTTCACCTTCTAGAATCACTAGAACTCTCCGTTTACCTTCTAGAATCACTAGAACTCTCCGTTCACCTTCTAGAATCACTAGAACTCCCCGTTCACCTTCTAGAATCACTAGAACTCTCCGTTCACCTTCTAGAATCACTAGAACTCTCCGTTCACCTTCTAGAATCACTAGAACTCCCCGTTCACCTTCTAGAATCACTAGAACTCTCCGTTCACCTTCTAGAATCACTAGAACTCCCCGTTCACCTTCTAGAATCACTAGAACTCTCCGTTCACCTTCTAGAATCACTAGAACTCTCCGTTTACCTTCTTGAATCACTAGAACTCCCCGTTCACCTTCTAGAATCACTAGAACTCCCCGTTTACCTTCTTGAATCACTAGAACTCCCCGTTTACCTTCTAGAATCACTAGAACTCCCCGTTCACCTTCTAGAATCACTAGAACTCTCCGTTTACCTTCTAGAATCACTAGAACTCCCCGTTCACCTTCTAGAATCACTAGAACTCCCCGTTTACCTTCTTGAATCACTAGAACTCCCCGTTTACCTTCTAGAATCACTAGAACTCTCCGTTCACCTTCTAGAATCTCTAGAACTCTCCGTTCACCTTCTAGAATCACTAGAACTCTCCGTTCACCTTCTAGAATCACTAGAACTCTCCGTTCACCTTCTAGAATCTCTAGAACTCTCTGTTCATCATTACCAGGAAGTGGCGGGAAATACCAGGAAGCGTGCACCTATGGGTCAGCAGGTACCTGAGGAAGAGCGGCTGCTGACGTCACTCTGCTGCCCACCCCCCGCCTCCACCCCCCACCCCACCGCCGCTCAGAAGGCTTTTTCATTTATGGAGTTATGGACAGAACTCTGCTGGCAGACCAGGGAAATGAAAAAGCAATGTCTGCTGTGTTTTCTCTTTGATTACGGCATAAATGAGCAGCCTTAAAGAAGAAAATACAAACAGGATGATTGATTACTAATTTCATTTATGAGCCAAATAATGCAGCCACATTCTTAAAATGAAAAAGCATTTCTGGAAAGAAGAGGAGACTGAATGACCAGATGGATGATAAACACTTTTGATTGAGTGATTTTATTAATCTTTGGAAATAGGAGAGACACATTCCTGGATTTTACACTTGATATTTTCTGCTGTTTAAATGTTAATAAATATCTAACAATAGATAAAAGCATCACTGTCTCCGTTTCCTGGTTTCATTTTAATATGTTTTTATTTTAATCTACAAGCTGGAAATAAGCCCAGGTTAGATTTAGAAACCTTATCCTGGCTTAATGTGAAATGCAGCTTCATTGTTGGTTCCCCTTCAGCAGCTTCCTGAAACCTGTCAGTTTGTTCTAAACGTTTCAGCCATCTGTCTGCAGGTGGTGGATGTGCGGCTGGTGTCGGTGTTCGATGCCCGCGAGCTGGAGCTGGTGATCGCAGGAACGGCAGAGATCGACCTGGCAGACTGGAGGAGCAACACGGAGTACAGAGGAGGTAGAAGGAGCCGGGGGGGGCTCCAGGCCAGGCCGGATCCGTTTGGCTATCAGGCGTCGTTAACAAACCTAACCAAGGTTGCAGCCGAGTCGCTCTAAATGTTCCTTCAGGCCAAATGAAGGATTATTATCTGTAATCCCATCAAAATGTCACTTTCTCCATAAGGAGCTCCATGAATTTCCCACAGAGGCCAAAGCGTTTAGCAGGAATGTTGCAGTCAGAGGAGGCGGCGGGTCATGGCTCACAGTCAGCCTCTTTTAATAGACCAATCGACTGAGACGCTAAACGGCTCCGGCCATGAAACATTAAACAGGAGGAGGAGGAGGAAGGCCTTCTTTTCTCCTGAGTCATGCACCTTCCTCATCTCTATGCCCTCAGGTTACCATGACAACCACATAGTGATTCGCTGGTTCTGGGCGGCTGTGGAGAGATTCAACAACGAGCAGAGGCTGCGGCTGCTGCAGGTAGGACATGTGGGCTGAGCTGTGCTGCCCTCTAGTGGCAGAGGAGCAGCGCTGTGATGCAGCGAACCGCTTCCTGCCAGAAATGTCCAGTTGCATTATGATCCAGACAGTTTGGATCCCTGAACCGGGTCAGCGTAGATAACGTAGAACCTGCTCTAGCAATGATTGGCTGAGGAAGTGCTCCAAGGTTCTCCCGCTCTTCTGTCTCTTGCAGTTTGTGACGGGAACCTCAAGTATTCCCTACGAAGGTTTCGCTTCCTTACGAGGAAGTAATGGACCGCGCAGATTCTGCGTGGAAAAGTGGGGAAAGATCACGTCCTTACCCAGGTGAGATGATGTTAGTGGAGAGAGGAGCAGTTCACCAGGAGCTGCTGTAGCGTAGCTTAGCTAAAGGTATAAACACAGGCATCGATTTCAGGCAGTAAAGTCTCCCTTTGAGGAGGCCCAGAGTGGAGCCCTGAGGAACCTCATCAGCTCAGATGATAGAGTTGGTTGAAAGAAGTGTCCTAGAAACGCCCCATGTAGAGCAGCAGTGGTTATCTAGAACTGAAGCTTTGCTGATCTCCTGATGTTCCTCCTCAGGGCTCACACCTGCTTCAATCGTCTGGACCTGCCGCCGTACCCGTCCTTCTCCATGCTCTATGAGAAGCTGCTGACCGCCGTGGAGGAGACCAGCACCTTCGGCCTGGAGTGACCTCCGCCACAGATCAACCGTGAGACAGCTGACCTGCTGCTTCCTCCTCCTCCAGCTCCTCATCCTCAGCAGCCGTCGAGTCAGCAGAACCTCTGAGGACGTTTTCATTTGGACCTGTTGTCACTGAGCCACGTGTTCTTTACCTCATCCAGCCTGCACCCCCCCCTCCCCTCTGGACCTTCAAACTGTGCTGGGAGATGAGGACCACGTCTAGATGCCCTGGGCCTAACTGGACCGGCACCACATCAGCTCCCTCCTCTTCCTCCTGACGATGCGATCACTTCCTGCTCAGAGAAGCAGGATTCAGGTGTGTGAGTCGAACCGCTGGGATCTGAAGGACTCCAGCTGATGAAGCAGAGCAGCAGAACCTTTCAGGGAGGTTCATCTGAGGAGGACCAAGATACCTTTCTATAGGTGGGGGTGGTCAGGAAAGGGTGGGTCAGTGAAGAGGCTGTAGTGAGTTTGTTCCAGGACGGTGGTTTTCACCCGTCCAGCAGAACGTAGGACAGGTGTCTCACTTCCCACTGGACACTCTGTCTTTCACAGATCTGCTTGCTTCCACCCAGGGAGCTGGTTAGATCCGTCCTCTGACCACAGAACCTGAGGGGGTCTCAGGATGCAGAGACACATTTTGGTCCCTGTCCCAGTCCTTCCAGTTCTCCCAGTCAAACAATGCATGCTGGTTCTGTTGGTTTCGGGCTCTGTGAGCTCCGCCAGCAGACACCTCTAGGTGGCGCCGTGTTATAGCTCAATATTGCATGCAGAAATAGTCCTGCTAGATTTGTGTATGAGGACACTTCATCCGGACATGGTGCTGAGTGCGCCGCTGGAGACGGTACCTGGAGGTGTAGCAAGGAGAGGGTACAGGGACCGGAGCAAGGAGAGGGTACCGGGAGGCAGAGCAAGGAGAGGGTACCGGGAGGCAGAGCAAGGAGAGGGTACAGGGACCGGAGCAAGGAGACGGTACGGGGAGGCGGAGCAAGGAGAGGGTACGGGGAGGCGGAGCAAGGAGAGGGTACCGGGAGGCAGAGCAAGGAGAGGGTACCGGGAGCAAGAGCAAGGAGAGGGTACCGGGAGGCAGAGCAAGGAGAGGGTACAGGGACCGGAGCAAGGAGACGGTACGGGGAGGCGGAGCAAGGAGAGGGTACGGGGAGGCGGAGCAAGGAGAGGGTAGGGGGAGGCAGAGCAAGGAGAGGGTATCGGGAGGCGGAGCAAGGAGAGGGTACCGGGAGGCAGAGCAAGGAGAGGGCAGAGCAAGGAGAGGGTACCTGGAGGCAGAGCAAGGAGAGGGTATCGGGAGGCGGAGCAAGGAGAGGGTACCTGGAGGCGGAGCAAGGAGAGGGTACCGGGAGGCAGAGCAAGGAGAGGGTACCGGGAGGCGGAGCAAGGAGAGGGTACCGGGAGGCGGAGCAAGGAGAGGGTACCGGGAGGCAGAGCAAGGAGAGGGTACCGGGAGGCGGAGCAAGGAGAGGGTACCGGGAGTGGTAGCAGGGGGCGGTACTAAATGGTGGCAAGCGGCTGTTGGACAGGGCCAATGATCCATGCAGAGCAGAACCAGTGTGCAGTCCTGGCGGTCTCTCTGTAAATAAACTTCTGTGTCCGTCCGTCTGTCCGTCCTACTGTGTGTAAAATCCATGTTCTGCACCGGTTCTACCGAAGGTTCAGGGTGTTTTGCTCCAATGAATCGGGCCTTTGGTTCGGTCGAGTTCTTCCAGAATCATGTTTGGATGAACTTTGTGCATGAGAAGCTTCCTGTTGTGCCGCTCCGTTCTTCACTGCAGTGCCGGTTCTGTTGGACCTGAAGATAGCGGCTCTGCTGGTCTGGATCTGGATCCACCTTCAGAACCTCACTCTATGCAAGGCTGCTGTCTGTCTGTCTCCATTTCACTGGGATGATTGTAATAAAAGAACCGACTGAACACTTTCATACCGGAACCCGTGGGCTCTTCTTTGGCTGCTGAGGTCCAAAAGGACCTGGACCCGGTTCTGATCCATTCAGACACACTTCAGAATTATTTTTCTACCAGCAAAAGAAACATATTCAAATATTTAGGAAAATAATTGAAATTCTCATCCTGTCGGAGATGGACCTACTGGTGAGCAGCGGAACCGGGCCTGAGCTCCGGACCGTCCTGCAGCGGAACCGGCTCTGACCTCCAGACCGTCCTGCAGCGGAACCGGCCCTGAGCTCCGGACCTTCCTGCAGCGGAACCGGGCCTGAGCTCCGGACCTTCCTGCAGCGGAACCGGGCCTGAGCTCCGGACCGTCCTGCAGCGGAACCGGCCCTGAGCTCCGGACCGTCCTGCAGCGGAACTGGCCCTGAGTTACGGACCGTCCTGCAGCGGAACTGGCCCTGAGTTATGGACCGTCCTGCAGCGGAACCGGGCCTGAGCTCCGGACCGTCCTGCAGCGGAACTGGCCCTGAGTTACGGACCGTCCTGCAGCGGAACTGGCCCTGAGTTATGGACCGTCCTGCAGGGGAACCGGGCCTGAGCTCCGGACCGTCCTGCAGCGGAACCGGCTCTGACCTCCAGACCGTCCTGCAGCGGAACCGGCCCTGAGCTCCGGACCTTCCTGCAGCGGAACCGGGCCTGAGCTCCGGACCTTCCTGCAGCGGAACCGGGCCTGAGCTCCGGACCGTCCTGCAGCGGAACTGGCCCTGAGTTACGGACCGTCCTGCAGCGGAACTGGCCCTGAGTTACGGACCGTCCTGCAGCGGAACTGGCCCTGAGTTATGGACCGTCCTGCAGCGGAACCGGGCCTGAGCTCCAGACCTTCCTGCAGCGGAACCGGCACTGAGCTCCGGACCGTCCTGCAGCGGAACTGGCCCTGAGTTACGGACCGTCCTGCAGCGGAACTGGCCCTGAGTTATGGACCGTCCTGCAGCGGAACCGGGCCTGAGCTCCGGACCGTCCTGCAGCGGAACCGGCCCTGAGCTCCGGACCGTCCTGCAGCGGAACTGGCCCTGAGTTATGGACCGTCCTGCAGCGGAACCGGGCCTGAGCTCCGGACCGTCCTGCAGCGGAACTGGCCCTGAGTTACGGACCGTCCTGCAGCGGAACTGGCCCTGAGTTATGGACCGTCCTGCAGCGGAACCGGGCCTGAGCTCCGGACCGTCCTGCAGCGGAACCGGGCCTGAGCTCCGGACCGTCCTGCAGCGGAACTGGCCCTGAGTTACGGACCGTCCTGCAGCGGAACTGGCCCTGAGTTATGGACCGTCCTGCAGCGGAACCGGGCCTGAGCTCCGGACCGTCCTGCAGCGGAACTGGCCCTGAGTTATGGACCGTCCTGCAGCGGAACTGGCCCTGAGTTATGGACCGTCCTGCAGCGGAACTGGCCCTGAGTTATGGACCGTCCTGCAGCGGAACTGGCCCTGAGTTATGGACCGTCCTGCAGCGGAACTGGCCCTGAGTTATGGACCGTCCTGCAGCGGAACTGGCCCTGAGTTACGGACCGTCCTGCAGCGGAACTGGCCCTGAGTTATGGACCGTCCTGCAGCGGAACCGGCCCTGAGCTCCGGACCGTCCTGCAGCGGAACTGGCCCTGAGTTACGGACCGTCCTGCAGCGGAACTGGCCCTGAGTTATGGACCGTCCTGCAGCGGAACCGGGCCTGAGCTCCGGACCGTCCTGCAGCGGAACCGGGCCTGAGCTCCGGACCGTCCTGCAGCGGAACCGGGCCTGAGCTCCGGACCGTCCTGCAGCGGAACCGGGCCTGAGCTCCGGACCGTCCTGCAGCGGAACCGGGCCTGAGCTCCGGACCTTCCTGCAGCGGAACCGGCCCTGAGCTCCGGACCTTCCTGCAGCGGAACCGGCCCTGAGCTCCGGACCTTCCTGCAGCGGAACCGGCCCTGAGCTCCGGACCTTCCTGCAGCGGAACCGGCACTAAGCTCCGGACCGTCCTGCAGCGGAACCGGGCCTGAGCTCCGGACCGTCCTGCAGCGGAACCGGGCCTGAGCTCAGGTGACGTTATAGATCCAGATCAACCAGATCATTCAGTCGGTTGATTCAAAGTTTTCTATCTAAGGAAAACCAGCTGATTGCATCGACTCATTGACTCTTCAGCAATCCCTCACACTAAGCATGCTTGTAGCGACAGTGGAGAGGAAAAACTCCCTTTGAACAGGAAGAAACCTCCAGCAGAACCAGGCTCAGTGTGAGGAAGGAAGATAGATGCAGTGATCTATAAATGATTTTCTATATCAGAAAAGTTTGGTAAGATGCAGCAGCTTCTCCAGTGGCTTTATCTGACACCGTACTAAACAGATCTTAGGCAGAATTCAGGTCTAGATAAGTATCATCTAGAAACAAACAAACAAAGGTGTTGATGACAGCGGCCATTTTCCCCCACATATAGTAGCCCCTCCCTCCTGCCATCTTCCAGCAGTGACGTCACGGTGCGGTAAGCCTAGCGCCATTCTCCCCGCTTTCCAAGCTAAATCAATGGGAACTACTAGACACATCTGCAATCAACAACAATTATTGAAGATTTCCAGAGGACTTCACCATTGAAATTCACCAGAGCTATAGTGAAACTGACAATGCCCACGTGCATGGCAGCTGGATGCTGGAATACATCGGGGAAAAGTGAAAAAAAGAGTTATTCCACCTTTCTGATTCCTGATCCTCCACGGACGGGTTGGTCGTTGGATCGCCAACTTGAAGAGGGAGGATTTGCCATCGAACTTCTGGCCAGAGAAAAAACCCGTAATATGTAGCCAACATTTGGAAGAAGAATGTTTTCAAGATGACTTGGATAATAGCGCGTTGTGACAAACACCAGATACAGCACTGGGACTTGATCAACAGCCGATACCGCACCGTGACAATGTCACTAACCAGTAGGTGGCAGTAGTGTTCTTTGACAAACATGGATGCCTCCAGTAAAGCACATTCACATGAAAATTACTCTGAATTAAAAACACTGATCATTTATTGAACAGGACGGAATAATTTCAGATTTAAAGAACTTTCAGAAGTTTGGATTCTGAATATGAGCGACTTTTCCTTTAATAATTTATATTGGTGAATAAAACTATGAATAAACTTTCTGTCACTAATCAGCAAAGATCCAAACTGTTCATCTCCAGAGAGGAAAACATCGAGGATGTCTGTTAATCCTCATTATTCAGGCCTGAGTTTGAAGCTTCTGCAGTTTTAATCTGTAATCCTGCAGTTTTCCTTTATGCTGATGATCCGTTGCTCTACTTTTCTAACTCTACATCTCCTCCATTCTACCTTTGAGTCTCGTTACCAGGAAGCATTTTCATTTAAGGAAACATGTTGACATTTTAAACCAGCCAAAGCAAACCTGTTAAAGCGGTCAGCTCTGCACATCCGTTTAGCAAAGGAGAAGTATCTGAAAGCAGGTGTGACAGTAAGTGGGAGGCGGTGAGATCAGGACGCGTTATGAGGAAATGTCTTAATGTCAGAACAAAGTCCAGAGTTTGAAGATAAGAGCGGCTTTAAAGCGCAGCTCATGCAGGTAACCCTTCTGATGAGTCTGGCTCCGTCCTTCACGCTAAAGTCCCTCAGGTTCAGAAGGCCACCGTCTCTACGCCGCCCCCCCCACCCCCACCGCCCAGATCAGCTTCCTGCTGCTGACTGGAAATGATGCAACGGTGGAATAAAACAGGAAACAACCTGTTATGAAAAACAAGACGCTCCTAAATGTGATGAGTCATTGGTTGCTATGGTGACGATCCAAAACACCGTTCCTCAAACGGCTGGCCTGCGTCAGACGGGCTGAACTCATACTACGCCTTTTCTCCACCTTGCCCAAGAGCACAAAGTCCAGCTGGAATCAAACCCTGCAGAACCTTCTGGTGACCGCAGCGGTTCTGGAGGTCCAGGAGCGAGTAGAACCATTAGAATTTGGTTCTGATCACTCTATGTTTATTGGACAGAGAAGACAAAGATATTCAACCCAGAATTCAAGTCAGAACCAGACTCAGTGTGAGCGACCATCTGCTAAAAGCGCTGATCTATAAACACTTTCTATGTTAGAAAAGCTAACAGTAAACCAGCTCAACGGGCGGCTCTGCCTGGGAAAGAAAGGGTTAACCAGTCAGCTCCGAGCCAGCTCCCATGTCAGAGGATGAAGAGAGCACATCCAGTTAGTCACAGTCAGAGAAACAGGACTACACTGGAAAACAGGCCAAGCTCCAACATCTAGAAACAAAGGTGTTGATGGCAGCAGCACAGCTGATATTTCTCTCCAGGATGGAGTCACAGCCAAACAGGAACAGACCAGATGAAGCTACTATGAGAAAAAGCAGAGAGAGCAGAACGTTAGAGATTGAACTAACAGATTCTGCAGAGTGGGAGAATAGAGATAGAATGAAGCAGAATGATGAAAAAGGGGTCCCTATGTCCTCCAGCAGTATAAGCTATGTTCACCAGTGCTAATTTTATCAGATTTTTTAAATTTAGTCTTAGTCACATTTTAGTGGTTTTAATCAATGGTGTAAATAATGACTTCTCCACACACAGCTTCTCTTTTTCTCTATTTATTTATCTAACACTGAGCAGAATAGAACGTCACTCACTCATTCTTTTTAACATAGATCTGCACACATTGAACCTTCTGCTTGTTTCATCATATCCATAAAGTCTTCATCCTCCATGGTCCCTGCAGTGAGGCCAGAACGCCTAATCCACTTTGCCACTGAGTTCTGCAGCTTTCTGCTCTGTGGAGTCAGGGGTGGGGGGGGGGCCTCCCTTCCCTCCCCAGCCTCTGATCTGGCTGTGATGTCACTGGGTCAGGAATCTAGTAGGGAGGAAGAAATTTAAACGATTAATATCCAGAGTATCAGTAGAACATCTTTCTTCTTTAGATGTGATTAATCTATTTTAGATGTGATTAATCTATCTCTGTTACAGGGATATGTACCTAAAGCTTTTAAGGTTGCTGTAATTAAACCTCTGCT